ACTGGAGGAAGATGTGGTAGAGGTTGCTCCCGCACCAGCGCCGCCGTCGTCGGTGGATGCGGGGGAGGCGGAAGACACGGGCGACCTGTGATTCCCACGCGCCTGCGCCGGGGGACCGCAAGGGAGGACCGTGTCCTTTGTAATAAAAGTGTGGAGCTGCTTTCTTCAAGTGCTCCGCCTTGTCGATGTGGTTCTATCGTGTGTTGCTGCTGTTCTCTCTCCTTTCACACACACACACACACACACACACACACATGCGCGCGCTTCTGCTGGTCGCACTGTTCTTTTCCTTCGTCCGGTGTCTGTTCATTCTATGGGCTCTACTCGTCTCTGTCTTTGTAAACAGAGCAAAAGCAACATCCTGTGCGTTGATGTTGGCCGACATCTCAAAACGAAACCAAAAGCGTTAAACACCCCTGAAAGTGAAGGGGACGCAGCGATGAAGCGGCATTCGGCGGTTGCGTTGATCATGAGCGCACGTTGGCCAAAGTCCCCCCTTATTGCCGTCAAGTGCACGACTCACGCACGCAACACGAAAACTCGCGGCGGTGCGTGTGGGGAAGGGGAAGGGTGGTTTTATGTCTTTTGTTGTGTTCGCCCTCTCAGCGTTGGTTTTTTCTTTTTCTCGCTACCGAATTTCATCCCATCCCTCCTCTTGTCCTCTCCACCCTCCTCCTTTCCCTTCTTTCATTGGGCGTCCTGTCTCCAACTTGTGTGTGTGTGTGTGTTGGGACAACTTCATATCGAGTACAGCACGTTGCCAACAAGCGATTGCTGAAACGGTGTTGCGTGTCTCTACGCTCTTAACGGCTGCCGTGTCGCCTCTACCGGGGGAGAAACAAAAGCGGCGCACCTTGTGCCTCTCCCCCCTCCTCCTTCTTTTGCCACCCTACTATTTGTTTTTGTTGCCATTTTTGTATTCGTTTGATTCCACTTCGTTGAGCTCACATATCCGATTTCTTTGTTTTTGTTCTTAGACGCTTAGAGATCCTTCTCCTGCTTTCCTTTTTTTCTTTTCCCTCAGCACACGGCTCTGTATACACTCTAATGAGCCGCCCCGCCGAGACGGTCAACGGGACGCGTCGCGTTGTCTCGCCGCCGCCGTCGCTTGCTGCAAATGGTGCGCGCCACCGCAGCAACGGCAACTACGTGAAGAGCTTCGGTCGGAACAGCTTCGAGCTGCAGCAGCAGCAACTGAAGTCGAAGCAGCCGCTGCAGCCTGCGTTACAAGAAACAGCAAAGCGTGTGAACTCGAAGCCCACCGTGTGTGGCAACGGTTGTGGCGGCGGCGCGCTCCGTCAAGTGCGCTCGCCGGTCGTCGCGATGGCGCCGTCGCACATCACCGTCTCGGCGAACTCCTCTGACACAAATGCAGAAGGCGAAGATGTCGACCTCAGCCCCTTTACGACGCCGGCGCAGTCGTACGTGCCGGAGCACCGACGCCGGGGCGGGCACGTTGATGCTGCTGCCCCGCGTGTTGCGGCAACCGGTAAGCAGACGGAGAAAAGTGCAGATAAGGAGAACACCCACGTGACAGCAGCAGCGACAGCGGCAGCAGCCGTTGCCCCCGGTGGTGCGGCGCCGAAGTCGTCTTCCTCCTCCGCAGGCACGCCGACGGCGCTCCTTCGCAGCGGCCCCTCCAGCGCACGAGGCGGTGCCGCTGGTGGTGGTGGTCCATGCGCGGCCACTTCGACTTCCCCGTCGGCTGCGAGAGTCAGCGCATCGTCACAGCGCGGCCCTGCCCCGAAGCGCACGGTAAACGTGAAAGATTCGCGAACTCCCGCCACCGCTGCTGGCCAGCGCAAGGTGGCATCTTCTGCTTCTGCCACTGCCGGGTCATCCACCACCACGGCGCCATCCACCGACGCGAAGAAGGAGCGCGTAGCCGTAGCAGCGACAAGGCAACGCACGCCGTCACCCGAACTCGACGGAGCTCTGCGGATGCAGCTGGACCAAGCGGACTCCGTCTTGACCTATGTGGTGAGTATCGCACGCGCACTTGGCGAGCGACGTCGGTGCGGACCACCGCCCGACTCCACGGACGACTTCCGCGCCTCCATGGTGCCGCGTCGCCGCTCTACGGGGTATCACGTGCACCACAGCAGGGTTGACGAGGGCATCGACGATGCGGAAGAGGAAGAAGGAGCACCGGATGGCGTGGGTGGGGAAGGGGCCGCCCATCACAACCCAAGCAGCTTTGGATCCGTGGCGCTGCTGCCCGACTTGCACAGAGCCGCCAGCGGTTTGTTGAGCGCCTTCACGAAACTCGAGTACGCACACCTGGGCGAAGACGTGGACCTCCCGCTGCTCGAGAAGACCGCGCTGGAGCGCGGCTCACAACTGTTGCGGGTTGTCGACGGCGTGGCTCGTCAGCTATCGTTGCACGAGGCACCGGAGGTGCGCCGCCTGTTCGCCGATCACCGTTCCGTGTTCGCCGAGATGCATCAGCTGGTGGACTTTGTCGCTCGCATGGCCCAGCAGGTCGTGTTGCTTCGTGACATCGCGGCCCACCACGACCTCGGCGAAGCACGTGAAGTGTGGGACAGCTTCCGGAAGAGTGTCGAGGTGGAAGAGGAGAGGCAGCACCAGCATTACGGTGGTAGTGGTGGTGGTGGTGTGACGGACAACGACAAGACAGGTAGATGCGCATGCAGGTCTTCGTCTCCCAGGCGCCTCTTCTTTCCACTCTCCATGCTGAAGGCAAGCCCGTTCTTTCAGTGGTTGGAGTCGCGCTGGTTCCCTGCGATGCGGGCGTGGCGGCAGCTCGTGCTCGACGCCCGCCAACTCGCCAGCACGGGCCGCACCGACGCCGCCATCCGCCGCTCTCGCATGGACGCGCTGCAGATCGCAGGGCTGCAAGAGATTCTTCGCCCTGGGGAGACCGTCTCTGACTTGCACCACGCACAAATCGTGGTGCCGGTGACCGAGTTGGGCCATACCTTTGCGCGAAAGCAGGCGGTGATGGATCAGCTGCGGAGCCTCATGGCAGAGCCCGACAGCGTGATCGGCGCCGTGCTGGCGCCAGCGTTGAAGGCGGCGCAGGCGTATACGCAGGTCCGCAGCGGGTGTCCGTCTGGTGGCGGCAACCGTGACGACGCGCAACGGGACGACGCGGCCCTCGTGAAGCAGGCAGAGGATCTTCTTCACCGCATACAGGAGGCGGAGCGTTTGCGGAGCGCCGTGGACGCCCTTCTGCAAACGCCATCCCCGACGCTGGAGACCCTTCTGGATCACATTACACGCGTCAACGAGCTCCTCCTTCGCTGGCGCCTGCCGTACGATGCGGCGTCGGCGCGGGTGGCGGTTGCGGTGGGTCGCGGTGCACTGGCGCACGGCACGGCAGCGCACCTCTCACCGCCATCGCCGCTGCACCATGGACAGGCCTCGGACGCCACCACCCTCTTCTCTCCTCCGCGTGCTGCTGATGTTGATGGTAATGTGGCTGCTGGAGCGGACTTGGCCGGTTCTCCCCTTCCACCGCAGGTGCCTCTTTTAAACTTCAACGCCCTTAAAACCAACGGCACCGCAATCCCGGCTCAACTATCACGGCACTCTGCGACGGCTACGTGGATCGGCGAAGGCTTCCCCGCGGACTTCCCCGTGTCTGCCCTGTACATCCCGCACACCACCACCGCCGCCTGGCCGGCCGACTTCGACGTCCTCTACCGTGAGTTGTGCGACGTCTTCGCGATGCTGTTCTCGCAGGGCCAAGCCCAGCGACAGTTGGAGCAGGCGCTCGGCCACACCCCGGACGATCGGGCGGGGACGCGCCAGAGCAAAACAAGCTACCCCAACGATGCGGGGCTTCGCACTCCGTCTGCGCAGGTTACACCGCGGCGCCCAACGCACGACGTAGGGTCCCCCGCGGGGACCCAGCGCTCCAGCGAGGACAGCGCACGGATGGTCACCACTGCCCGTAGCAGCAACAGCGCGGAGAGCAGCAGCCTGCACAACTGTCACCGTTGGCCCTCTGTCGCTGCGGCGGCGGGCGATCTGCGGCAGCGTATCCAACAGGCGGAAGCGGCCGGCATCAGCGGCGCGCTGATCGACGCCGCTCGCGCACGTCTACGTCGTTTACTGACGGCGCGACTGAAGATTCACTTCGACGCGCAGACACGCGTGATGCCGGTGGCGGACGCAGCGCAGGCGAAGTTCACCGACGTCTACGACCAGCTGCACGCGCACTGTCAAGCCCAGCTGGCGCAGTCGTCGTGCAGCGGCGCGGCGGTGGCGGTCGGCACGTCGTCATCACCGGAAGAGCGGCGACTGCGCATCCGCTACGAGGACGTCGACGGCGACTTTATTTCTCTGTTAAATCAGCAAGACTGGGACGTGATGCTGTCCGAGCTGCTCTCGCAGGAAGAGAACGGTAGCGGCAGCAGTAGCGGTGGTGGGAAAATCGAGCTCTTCTGCGACTACCCGATTACGCCGAGTCTGGCTCCCCCGCCACAGCAGCAGCAGCGGCAGCAGCGGCCATCTTACGGGAATGAAAGGCAAGAGAGCGTGGGCTGGACGGACTTCCAGACAATCGACGACGACTTCGCAGACGCTTCCGCAGCAGCTGCGGCAGCACCAGCGGCTACCACGCCGGAGAAGCAGCCGAATGTATTCGAGCGGTTGGCTACGACGAAGGACGCAACACCGAACGCGTCGGGGGGCCGGGGGGCGGGGGCCAACGCACACCGCCCCGTTCGCGGCCGCCCGCGGCTCGGCGGTCCATCCGCTGCGTCCGCCACTCAAAACACGCTCATTCCGCGCTCCCGCAACCCTGCCGGGGCGAACGGGAGCCGGCCGGCGGCGAGTCCGGGTAAAGGGAGTCCAGGCGGCGCTGACGTCGCGAAGTACTCATCCCCCGCCCCGGCGAAGGGAGCTGCGCAGCGCGGCGGTGGCAGTGAATCCTCACCTGGAAAGAAGACCGGCACGGACGCGACGGGCAGTCCGACGGCGGCGGCGTCCACCGTGCAGTCGATGGAGCTGACGGCGGACAACCTGCGCCGCAACCTTTTTCTCTCCTCGCCCTCGCCGCCGTCTGCGCAGGGCAGAGACTCCGGCAAGGACGCCTGCCGACGCTCTGGCGAGGCGGCTTCCGCCAAGAAGGCAGCCGAGCTACAAGACGAAGAAGATCCTGCGGCGGTCACTACGGCTGCGGCTACAGCAGACGGCCACAACGTGAGCGGCGGCAACAGTGGAACGCGCCTTGTGGCGAAGGAGAACCCGTTTGAGAGCGCGTTACCCAGCAGCGCGGTTCATGTAAACATCGACGCAGCGCGGCGCTGGACGGCAGCGGGTGAGGACGACGACTTCCAGCTGCTCGAGATTCAAACCCGCGCCTCTGCCTCGACGACTCGCATGGACCCCTGCCTTTCCAGCTGCAGCGTCGAGACGGCGCTGCCGCCGCCGTCCTCGTGCGTTGCGACAGCGGCGTCCTCCACGACGCTGAGTCCATCGGGGGGTCGCAACACCTTCACAACAACACACTGCTCCGGTAAAGTCGCAGACAATCACAACGCCGTGCCTGCTCCCACTGTTATGGAGTCGAATGCGCACGACTCGCAAGCGACCGCCTCAGCGAATGCAGCCACCAACGTGAGCAGCACCAATGCGCCAGAGGAAAAGGAAGGAGCGCAGCATCAGGAAGAGATGCGAGAGGAGCGGCGGAAGAAGGAGCGCCTCCCGCAGTCTCCGCCCCGGCACGCGCCGCGCCGGTGGACCTCCGACGACTTCACTCTGGACGAGGTCAAGACGGTGTGCAGCGAGCGCTCCCGAATGGCGATGATGCCGGTGGTGCCGCGAGGTCCGACCTCGCTGCCGCCACGACCGCAGACTCCATCGCGAGAGGCGGCGGCGAACCGGACACCACAGCGCCAACGACGCGGTGCACGGGGAACCCCAACCCGAGGTCGGCCCGACGGTGCGGACATCGACGAGGGAGAGGCGGCGCAACCGGCGGAAGACGTGTTTGCGGAGATGCAGCGCATGCGGGATGAAAACACACGTGCCATGGCGCAGCCTCGTAAAGCGGCGTGGCATTAATCCTCGATGCTGGTGTCGAAGTGTTTTCAGCGTGCTCGTTGCACTACCGCATTCAAGGGAGTAAACGTGCGCGATTTCGTACGTCGCCTTTCCGTTCATCTTTTTTTAGTTTGATAGATCTCTCTTCTTCACCTCGTTACTAGATTTGTATTACCGCAGCGCGTACAATTGCCTCGTCTTTATTCCTGTATGAGTGTACCTTTTCTTTTTCCCCCAAATGCTTTCATCACGAACAGGCTTTTGTTTGTTTGTTTTCGAAAAGCACAAGGAGTTGCTTATTGCCGACTCTCATTGAATTCTTTGTTTTGTGCAGCTACCCCTAAAAATCACCCCGCACGTCAACGCTGCTGCATGGGAATGTGTGTGCGTTTGCGTTTGGTCATGTGTTCCTTGACCGCGTCAACGGTGGAGCAACAACCTCCATTATTGGTATTACGTGGTTGAGGGTTTTCTTGTTCTGTTCTTCTTTCTCTGCCTTATCTCTGCAGCGGAGTCTTTGGCGTTCCTCACCACCTTCATCACTTTTCTCAAAACCACCTTCACTTTTTGTGGTTCCTCGTCTCTCTTCCCTTCATCTCGGCCTCTCCGGCTCATACGCAAATCTATCCCATCATCATCATCAGCAGCGAAATAACGTTGAGGCGTCAGCGTTGCAGTTTTTTGATCCCCAGCATAACTCTTTCGTTTCCTCTTCTCTTGCGTGTGTTTTCATTTCCTTCGGAGCAACCCCAACCGAGCTCTATCGTATCCGGCCTTCTGTTTTCGGTTGTTTTGTCTTCTGCTTGTTTTAAATCCAGCAACGATGCCCGCCCTCTCCGCCGACGCCGCGGACACCGTCAGCCTTGTCCGTCAGCTGCAGCTGCTCGATGAGAGCACGATCCGCCTGCTGGAGCAGCTCTTCACAAACCGTCTGGATGAAGAGCTCGTCACGTCTCTCGTCGGCGGCCGCGAGGAGGCGCTCGCCATCGCGCTCTTCCGCGTCTGCGCCGGCACCCACGCCGAGCACATCTTAGGCTACGCGCTGCGCTTCCTGGCAGATTTGGTGTTCGCCGACCATGTCATTGGCGCCCAGCTCGGTCGTGATGATCTACAGAAGCAGTTTGGCGGGCACCCGGCCTCGCTGCTGCTGCAGATCGCCTCGACGCACAACGAAACGCTCGGGATTTCGAACCCGGCGATTTATCTTGCGGCGACGGCGCTGCGCTTCGGCACCTACGAAGGCAACGAGGGCTCGTTTAAAGAGTTCTTCTCCTTGGCACGTCACACCTTTGCCCCGGAGACGTTGCAGGTGGCGGATGTGGAGTTCACGGTGCAGGCCTGTGTGCAGCTGGCCCGCCGCAAGGATTACCGCCGGCTCTTCTTCCAGGAGGACATCGTCTCGTGCATTCCGCGCCTGCTGACCGACATCGTGTCGAGCGACTCCGCCGGCATCATTCAGATCATCTACGAGAGCCTGCTGCTGTCATGGCTGCTGTCGTTCGAGTACGAGGGCATCGTGCTGCTGGTGCGCGAGCGAATGATCCCGCAGCTGCACCGCGTTCTGCAGCGAGTGCAGAAGGAAAAGTGCGTGCGGGTGACGCTGATGACGCTGCTGAACATGGTGGAGGCGGAGCGCAAGTACATGAACCAAATGCTGAACCCGCTCTCGGACGAGTGGGTAGATGAGAGTATCCAAGTCCTCGGTCGTCTCCACCAGGGCGACACCGCGGAGCAGATCAGCACCTTCAAGAAGGGCCCGTCGCTCGTAGCGGAGATGGTGAGTGTGGGCATGATCAAGACCCTCGGTCAGCTGTTCCGCCGCAAGTTCGGTGACGAGGACATCAGCGTCATGGTCGAGCACCTCAACGCGGCGCTGGAGAAGTCCATGCAAGTCCTCACAAGCTTCTCGCAGTACCGCGGCGAGGTGCTGAGTGGCGTGCTCGAGTGGACACCGGTGCACACGAGCGCTAAGTTCTGGAAAGAAAACGCGGAGAAAGTGGAGGACAACAACTACGAGGTGCTGGTGGCGCTGGGCAAGACGCTGCGGGAGTCGAAGAATGAAGTGACGCTGGCGGTGGCCTGCCACGACCTGGGCGAGATCATCCGCTATCACCCGACGGGACGCAATCTCCTCACCCTCGCGGCGATGGCCGGCGTGAAGGAGCGCGTGATGTCCCTCATGTCGCATACCAATCCCGAGGTGGCGAAGGAGGCGTTGCTGTGCACCCAGAAGATCATGGTGCAGCGCTGGGAGTTCATGCAGCAGACGGCATAGTAAGGAAATGAAAGCAGAATCTTTCATGATTGCTTTCTGCGCTGGGCTCCTCTTGCGAAGCTCCGGGTTGCGCCGGAGTAGTTTTTCAATCGGTTTGCGGCGTGTTGCACGCCACCACCGCTGCGGACAAGGTTATTTTTTTCCGGTGTCTGGTCAGCGTGGTGCGTCGTCATCTTATCGAGAGAGGTGTGCGGGATGCGCTCGCGCTTGTGTTGATGCCGATTTCTGTCATAATGGTTCATTTGGCCGTACCTGATGCATCCACCGGTGGCGGATGGACTGGACACGGTGAAGCGGGTCGTGCCTTCAATCATCCTTGTCTTTTTGTTGTTGTTGTTTTGGCTGTGCTCGATGATGACGTGTGGCAGCTGTTGTTTGTGATCTTCTTCGTTTTCCGACAGCTTCATTTGTATTGCGTTGTGAGACAGTCTCGGTCTCGCGTAGGCGAGGGGTGGTGTTTTCTTCTTTTCTATATATATATATATATCTCATTTCGTTAGGCAGTCATTAGTAACGCGCCCGCGAAGAAATCCAATCACTTCTACACGTTCTTCTCCTGGAAGACAGCGGTCACACACACACGGTGTGCTGTGCAGCCCTGCGGCCATACACACACACACACACACACACCTCCCAGGGCGAAAGAGCGCAGCGCACGTCCTACTAGTGAGAGGAGATCACACCACGACTCTTCGCCAACGCCCGCACGTCAGCGCATCCCCATCAGCAAAAAGAGCAGACTACCCCACAGTCCGATAATTTCCTTCACCAGATAACAAGAGATTGCCCCATGTGTTGGTTAACACACACTTCGCTCCCACCACCACAATCCTCCCCTTACGACCCGCTGCCCTTTCACTCTCTTCCTTCGATCTCTTTTCTTTATTGCCGTGGGAAAGAGCCCTTTCTTTACGGCATAGGTCGGGCACACTTCCCCGACAATGGTTTAACACAGCCTATAAAAAGAAAACACATTCCACCTGTTATCGTTAAGCCAGCTCCGTGGGTGAGGCAGCGGACTCTACTATACTTGGTGCCGTACAACCGCCTCAATCGGGCTCGCGAGAGCCGCCGGCGTGCCACGCCTGCGACGCGTGCTTGCCGTGCTTTTTCTTGTGTGTGTGTGTGTGTGTGTCTACGTGTGTGTCCGCGCCGGACGGCTGCGAAGGTGTGCCGCCGCCGACCGCCTCAGATGATGTCAAAATCGAGGCATTTGTATGAACCCGCAACCCTGATTCGAACTCCGTGTACTCAAGCTACCTACATATATACACGGGACTGAACCAGTGGCGGTCGGCGGTGCGCGGCGGAGTGTGGCCCCACCACGTCGCGGGCACCACGGAATCCGTGCAGCGCACGCAGCGGCACGGAACGTACGCACCGTCAGTCAATCCGGTTATCGTCAGTAGCACGGGGCTTCAGGTGTATAATTAAATGAGATGCATCACGCGTGCGCACCGTCACCGTCACGTAGGCCTAGCCCACACACACTGTGGAGCGAACCAGGAGTAGCACCGTTGCGGAACACGATCCATTGATCTATCGGCGGACTTGCTCTTGGGAGATGCTAATGACGACGATGATGACGGTGCCGTTTGTGTCACACGCCACGCATTCAAGGTCCCTTGGCGGCAATTATATACCCTCGATGCTGTTTCACAGGATACCCAGCGGGGCAAGAGCTGAGCGTGCATGCGCGCTTGTGTGTTGCTGTGTGCGTGTGTGCGGTGCGAAGGCCAGCGAAAACACAGTCGAAGTGCTATTCTACCCCCATCATTTCGCCTGCACCTGTGCTGTCCGAGAGAAGACGGGCGCGCACGCGTGTCGTGTGCCCTGCGAGGCGTGATGCCATCGTTAAGCCAGCTCCGTGGGTGAGGCAGCGGACTCTACTATACTTGGTGCCGTACAACCGCCTCAATCGGGCTCGCGAGAGCCGCCGGCGTGCCACGCCTGCGACGCGTGCTTGCCGTGCTTTTTCTTGTGTGTGTGTGTGTGTGTGTCTACGTGTGTGTCCGCGCCGGACGGCTGCGAAGGTGTGCCGCCGCCGACCGCCTCAGATGATGTCAAAATCGAGGCATTTGTATGAACCCGCAACCCTGATTCGAACTCCGTGTACTCAAGCTACCTACATATATACACGGGACTGAACCAGTGGCGGTCGGCGGTGCGCGGCGGAGTGTGGCCCCACCACGTCGCGGGCACCACGGAATCCGTGCAGCGCACGCAGCGGCACGGAACGTACGCACCGTCAGTCAATCCGGTTATCGTCAGTAGCACGGGGCTTCAGGTGTATAATTAAATGAGATGCATCACGCGTGCGCACCGTCACCGTCACGTAGGCCTAGCCCACACACACTGTGGAGCGAACCAGGAGTAGCACCGTTGCGGAACACGATCCATTGATCTATCGGCGGACTTGCTCTTGGGAGATGCTAATGACGACGATGATGACGGTGCCGTTTGTGTCACACGCCACGCATTCAAGGTCCCTTGGCGGCAATTATATACCCTCGATGCTGTTTCACAGGATACCCAGCGGGGCAAGAGCTGAGCGTGCATGCGCGCTTGTGTGTTGCTGTGTGCGTGTGTGCGGTGCGAAGGCCAGCGAAAACACAGTCGAAGTGCTATTCTACCCCCATCATTTCGCCTGCACCTGTGCTGTCCGAGAGAAGACGGGCGCGCACGCGTGTCGTGTGCCCTGCGAGGCGTGATGCCATCGTTAAGCCAGCTCCGTGGGTGAGGCAGCGGACTCTACTATACTTGGTGCCGTACAACCGCCTCAATCGGGCTCGCGAGAGCCGCCGGCGTGCCACGCCTGCGACGCGTGCTTGCCGTGCTTTTTCTTGTGTGTGTGTGTGTGTGTGTCTACGTGTGTGTCCGCGCCGGACGGCTGCGAAGGTGTGCCGCCGCCGACCGCCTCAGATGATGTCAAAATCGAGGCATTTGTATGAACCCGCAACCCTGATTCGAACTCCGTGTACTCAAGCTACCTACATATATACACGGGACTGAACCAGTGGCGGTCGGCGGTGCGCGGCGGAGTGTGGCCCCACCACGTCGCGGGCACCACGGAATCCGTGCAGCGCACGCAGCGGCACGGAACGTACGCACCGTCAGTCAATCCGGTTATCGTCAGTAGCACGGGGCTTCAGGTGTATAATTAAATGAGATGCATCACGCGTGCGCACCGTCACCGTCACGTAGGCCTAGCCCACACACACTGTGGAGCGAACCAGGAGTAGCACCGTTGCGGAACACGATCCATTGATCTATCGGCGGACTTGCTCTTGGGAGATGCTAATGACGACGATGATGACGGTGCCGTTTGTGTCACACGCCACGCATTCAAGGTCCCTTGGCGGCAATTATATACCCTCGATGCTGTTTCACAGGATACCCAGCGGGGCAAGAGCTGAGCGTGCATGCGCGCTTGTGTGTTGCTGTGTGCGTGTGTGCGGTGCGAAGGCCAGCGAAAACACAGTCGAAGTGCTATTCTACCCCCATCATTTCGCCTGCACCTGTGCTGTCCGAGAGAAGACGGGCGCGCACGCGTGTCGTGTGCCCTGCGAGGCGTGATGCCATCGTTAAGCCAGCTCCGTGGGTGAGGCAGCGGACTCTACTATACTTGGTGCCGTACAACCGCCTCAATCGGGCTCGCGAGAGCCGCCGGCGTGCCACGCCTGCGACGCGTGCTTGCCGTGCTTTTTCTTGTGTGTGTGTGTGTGTGTGTCTACGTGTGTGTCCGCGCCGGACGGCTGCGAAGGTGTGCCGCCGCCGACCGCCTCAGATGATGTCAAAATCGAGGCATTTGTATGAACCCGCAACCCTGATTCGAACTCCGTGTACTCAAGCTACCTACATATATACACGGGACTGAACCAGTGGCGGTCGGCGGTGCGCGGCGGAGTGTGGCCCCACCACGTCGCGGGCACCACGGAATCCGTGCAGCGCACGCAGCGGCACGGAACGTACGCACCGTCAGTCAATCCGGTTATCGTCAGTAGCACGGGGCTTCAGGTGTATAATTAAATGAGATGCATCACGCGTGCGCACCGTCACCGTCACGTAGGCCTAGCCCACACACACTGTGGAGCGAACCAGGAGTAGCACCGTTGCGGAACACGATCCATTGATCTATCGGCGGACTTGCTCTTGGGAGATGCTAATGACGACGATGATGACGGTGCCGTTTGTGTCACACGCCACGCATTCAAGGTCCCTTGGCGGCAATTATATACCCTCGATGCTGTTTCACAGGATACCCAGCGGGGCAAGAGCTGAGCGTGCATGCGCGCTTGTGTGTTGCTGTGTGCGTGTGTGCGGTGCGAAGGCCAGCGAAAACACAGTCGAAGTGCTATTCTACCCCCATCATTTCGCCTGCACCTGTGCTGTCCGAGAGAAGACGGGCGCGCACGCGTGTCGTGTGCCCTGCGAGGCGTGATGCCATCGTTAAGCCAGCTCCGTGGGTGAGGCAGCGGACTCTACTATACTTGGTGCCGTACAACCGCCTCAATCGGGCTCGCGAGAGCCGCCGGCGTGCCACGCCTGCGACGCGTGCTTGCCGTGCTTTTTCTTGTGTGTGTGTGTGTGTGTGTCTACGTGTGTGTCCGCGCCGGACGGCTGCGAAGGTGTGCCGCCGCCGACCGCCTCAGATGATGTCAAAATCGAGGCATTTGTATGAACCCGCAACCCTGATTCGAACTCCGTGTACTCAAGCTACCTACATATATACACGGGACTGAACCAGTGGCGGTCGGCGGTGCGCGGCGGAGTGTGGCCCCACCACGTCGCGGGCACCACGGAATCCGTGCAGCGCACGCAGCGGCACGGAACGTACGCACCGTCAGTCAATCCGGTTATCGTCAGTAGCACGGGGCTTCAGGTGTATAATTAAATGAGATGCATCACGCGTGCGCACCGTCACCGTCACGTAGGCCTAGCCCACACACACTGTGGAGCGAACCAGGAGTAGCACCGTTGCGGAACACGATCCATTGATCTATCGGCGGACTTGCTCTTGGGAGATGCTAATGACGACGATGATGACGGTGCCGTTTGTGTCACACGCCACGCATTCAAGGTCCCTTGGCGGCAATTATATACCCTCGATGCTGTTTCACAGGATACCCAGCGGGGCAAGAGCTGAGCGTGCATGCGCGCTTGTGTGTTGCTGTGTGCGTGTGTGCGGTGCGAAGGCCAGCGAAAACACAGTCGAAGTGCTATTCTACCCCCATCATTTCGCCTGCACCTGTGCTGTCCGAGAGAAGACGGGCGCGCACGCGTGTCGTGTGCCCTGCGAGGCGTGATGCCATCGTTAAGCCAGCTCCGTGGGTGAGGCAGCGGACTCTACTATACTTGGTGCCGTACAACCGCCTCAATCGGGCTCGCGAGAGCCGCCGGCGTGCCACGCCTGCGACGCGTGCTTGCCGTGCTTTTTCTTGTGTGTGTGTGTGTGTGTGTCTACGTGTGTGTCCGCGCCGGACGGCTGCGAAGGTGTGCCGCCGCCGACCGCCTCAGATGATGTCAAAATCGAGGCATTTGTATGAACCCGCAACCCTGATTCGAACTCCGTGTACTCAAGCTACCTACATATATACACGGGACTGAACCAGTGGCGGTCGGCGGTGCGCGGCGGAGTGTGGCCCCACCACGTCGCGGGCACCACGGAATCCGTGCAGCGCACGCAGCGGCACGGAACGTACGCACCGTCAGTCAATCCGGTTATCGTCAGTAGCACGGGGCTTCAGGTGTATAATTAAATGAGATGCATCACGCGTGCGCACCGTCACCGTCACGTAGGCCTAGCCCACACACACTGTGGAGCGAACCAGGAGTAGCACCGTTGCGGAACACGATCCATTGATCTATCGGCGGACTTGCTCTTGGGAGATGCTAATGACGACGATGATGACGGTGCCGTTTGTGTCACACGCCACGCATTCAAGGTCCCTTGGCGGCAATTATATACCCTCGATGCTGTTTCACAGGATACCCAGCGGGGCAAGAGCTGAGCGTGCATGCGCGCTTGTGTGTTGCTGTGTGCGTGTGTGCGGTGCGAAGGCCAGCGAAAACACAGTCGAAGTGCTATTCTACCCCCATCATTTCGCCTGCACCTGTGCTGTCCGAGAGAAGACGGGCGCGCACGCGTGTCGTGTGCCCTGCGAGGCGTGATGCCATCGTTAAGCCAGCTCCGTGGGTGAGGCAGCGGACTCTACTATACTTGGTGCCGTACAACCGCCTCAATCGGGCTCGCGAGAGCCGCCGGCGTGCCACGCCTGCGACGCGTGCTTGCCGTGCTTTTTCTTGTGTGTGTGTGTGTGTGTGTCTACGTGTGTGTCCGCGCCGGACGGCTGCGAAGGTGTGCCGCCGCCGACCGCCTCAGATGATGTCAAAATCGAGGCATTTGTATGAACCCGCAACCCTGATTCGAACTCCGTGTACTCAAGCTACCTACATATATACACGGGACTGAACCAGTGGCGGTCGGCGGTGCGCGGCGGAGTGTGGCCCCACCACGTCGCGGGCACCACGGAATCCGTGCAGCGCACGCAGCGGCACGGAACGTACGCACCGTCAGTCAATCCGGTTATCGTCAGTAGCACGGGGCTTCAGGTGTATAATTAAATGAGATGCATCACGCGTGCGCACCGTCACCGTCACGTAGGCCTAGCCCACACACACTGTGGAGCGAACCAGGAGTAGCACCGTTGCGGAACACGATCCATTGATCTATCGGCGGACTTGCTCTTGGGAGATGCTAATGACGACGATGATGACGGTGCCGTTTGTGTCACACGCCACGCATTCAAGGTCCCTTGGCGGCAATTATATACCCTCGATGCTGTTTCACAGGATACCCAGCGGGGCAAGAGCTGAGCGTGCATGCGCGCTTGTGTGTTGCTGTGTGCGTGTGTGCGGTGCGAAGGCCAGCGAAAACACAGTCGAAGTGCTATTCTACCCCCATCATTTCGCCTGCACCTGTGCTGTCCGAGAGAAGACGGGCGCGCACGCGTGTCGTGTGCCCTGCGAGGCGTGATGCCATCGTTAAGCCAGCTCCGTGGGTGAGGCAGCGGACTCTACTATACTTGGTGCCGTACAACCGCCTCAATCGGGCTCGCGAGAGCCGCCGGCGTGCCACGCCTGCGACGCGTGCTTGCCGTGCTTTTTCTTGTGTGTGTGTGTGTGTGTGTCTACGTGTGTGTCCGCGCCGGACGGCTGCGAAGGTGTGCCGCCGCCGACCGCCTCAGATGATGTCAAAATCGAGGCATTTGTATGAACCCGCAACCCTGATTCGAACTCCGTGTACTCAAGCTACCTACATATATACACGGGACTGAACCAGTGGCGGTCGGCGGTGCGCGGCGGAGTGTGGCCCCACCACGTCGCGGGCACCACGGAATCCGTGCAGCGCACGCAGCGGCACGGAACGTACGCACCGTCAGTCAATCCGGTTATCGTCAGTAGCACGGGGCTTCAGGTGTATAATTAAATGAGATGCATCACGCGTGCGCACCGTCACCGTCACGTAGGCCTAGCCCACACACACTGTGGAGCGAACCAGGAGTAGCACCGTTGCGGAACACGATCCATTGATCTATCGGCGGACTTGCTCTTGGGAGATGCTAATGACGACGATGATGACGGTGCCGTTTGTGTCACACGCCACGCATTCAAGGTCCCTTGGCGGCAATTATATACCCTCGATGCTGTTTCACAGGATACCCAGCGGGGCAAGAGCTGAGCGTGCATGCGCGCTTGTGTGTTGCTGTGTGCGTGTGTGCGGTGCGAAGGCCAGCGAAAACACAGTCGAAGTGCTATTCTACCCCCATCATTTCGCCTGCACCTGTGCTGTCCGAGAGAAGACGGGCGCGCACGCGTGTCGTGTGCCCTGCGAGGCGTGATGCCATCGTTAAGCCAGCTCCGTGGGTGAGGCAGCGGACTCTACTATACTTGGTGCCGTACAACCGCCTCAATCGGGCTCGCGAGAGCCGCCGGCGTGCCACGCCTGCGACGCGTGCTTGCCGTGCTTTTTCTTGTGTGTGTGTGTGTGTGTGTCTACGTGTGTGTCCGCGCCGGACGGCTGCGAAGGTGTGCCGCCGCCGACCGCCTCAGATGATGTCAAAATCGAGGCATTTGTATGAACCCGCAACCCTGATTCGAACTCCGTGTACTCAAGCTACCTACATATATACACGGGACTGAACCAGTGGCGGTCGGCGGTGCGCGGCGGAGTGTGGCCCCACCACGTCGCGGGCACCACGGAATCCGTGCAGCGCACGCAGCGGCACGGAACGTACGCACCGTCAGTCAATCCGGTTATCGTCAGTAGCACGGGGCTTCAGGTGTATAATTAAATGAGATGCATCACGCGTGCGCACCGTCACCGTCACGTAGGCCTAGCCCACACACACTGTGGAGCGAACCAGGAGTAGCACCGTTGCGGAACACGATCCATTGATCTATCGGCGGACTTGCTCTTGGGAGATGCTAATGACGACGATGATGACGGTGCCGTTTGTGTCACACGCCACGCATTCAAGGTCCCTTGGCGGCAATTATATACCCTCGATGCTGTTTCACAGGATACCCAGCGGGGCAAGAGCTGAGCGTGCATGCGCGCTTGTGTGTTGCTGTGTGCGTGTGTGCGGTGCGAAGGCCAGCGAAAACACAGTCGAAGTGCTATTCTACCCCCATCATTTCGCCTGCACCTGTGCTGTCCGAGAGAAGACGGGCGCGCACGCGTGTCGTGTGCCCTGCGAGGCGTGATGCCATCGTTAAGCCAGCTCCGTGGGTGAGGCAGCGGACTCTACTATACTTGGTGCCGTACAACCGCCTCAATCGGGCTCGCGAGAGCCGCCGGCGTGCCACGCCTGCGACGCGTGCTTGCCGTGCTTTTTCTTGTGTGTGTGTGTGTGTGTGTCTACGTGTGTGTCCGCGCCGGACGGCTGCGAAGGTGTGCCGCCGCCGACCGCCTCAGATGATGTCAAAATCGAGGCATTTGTATGAACCCGCAACCCTGATTCGAACTCCGTGTACTCAAGCTACCTACATATATACACGGGACTGAACCAGTGGCGGTCGGCGGTGCGCGGCGGAGTGTGGGGAATGCTTTTGGCGGGAAGGGCGAATGTACCGTCGACGAGGACGGAGCAGCCGCCGCGACGCTGATGCCGCCGGTGCGTCTGGACGCGCAGTCCACCTTCCTCCCAGCCGCACTGGCCAACCCTGTGGGGGTGGCCGACCGATGTGCGTATGTTCTGGCTTGAAGGGTGGTCGAGACTTGGCGGAGCTGTGGAGCGAACCAGGAGTAGCACCGTTGCGGAACACGATCCATTGATCTATCGGCGGACTTGCTCTTGGGAGATGCTAATGACGACGATGATGACGGTGCCGTTTGTGTCACACGCCACGCATTCAAGGTCCCTTGGCGGCAATTATATACCCTCGATGCTGTTTCACAGGATACCCAGCGGGGCAAGAGCTGAGCGTGCATGCGCGCTTGTGTGTTGCTGTGTGCGTGTGTGCGGTGCGAAGGCCAGCGAAAACACAGTCGAAGTGCTATTCTACCCCCATCATTTCGCCTGCACCTGTGCTGTCCGAGAGAAGACGGGCGCGCACGCGTGTCGTGTGCCCTGCGAGGCGTGATGCCATCGTTAAGCCAGCTCCGTGGGTGAGGCAGCGGACTCTACTATACTTGGTGCCGTACAACCGCCTCAATCGGGCTCGCGAGAGCCGCCGGCGTGCCACGCCTGCGACGCGTGCTTGCCGTGCTTTTTCTTGTGTGTGTGTGTGTGTGTGTCTACGTGTGTGTCCGCGCCGGACGGCTGCGAAGGTGTGCCGCCGCCGACCGCCTCAGATGATGTCAAAATCGAGGCATTTGTATGAACCCGCAACCCTGATTCGAACTCCGTGTACTCAAGCTACCTACATATATACACGGGACTGAACCAGTGGCGGTCGGCGGTGCGCGGCGGAGTGTGGGGAATGCTTTTGGCGGGAAGGGCGAATGTACCGTCGACGAGGACGGAGCAGCCGCCGCGACGCTGATGCCGCCGGTGCGTCTGGACGCGCAGTCCACCTTCCTCCCAGCCGCACTGGCCAACCCTGTGGGGGTGGCCGACCGATGTGCGTATGTTCTGGCTTGAAGGGTGGTCGAGACTTGGCGGAGCTGTGGAGCGAACCAGGAGTAGCACCGTTGCGGAACACGATCCATTGATCTATCGGCGGACTTGCTCTTGGGAGATGCTAATGACGACGATGATGACGGTGCCGTTTGTGTCACACGCCACGCATTCAAGGTCCCTTGGCGGCAATTATATACCCTCGATGCTGTTTCACAGGATACCCAGCGGGGCAAGAGCTGAGCGTGCATGCGCGCTTGTGTGTTGCTGTGTGCGTGTGTGCGGTGCGAAGGCCAGCGAAAACACAGTCGAAGTGCTATTCTACCCCCATCATTTCGCCTGCACCTGTGCTGTCCGAGAGAAGACGGGCGCGCACGCGTGTCGTGTGCCCTGCGAGGCGTGATGCCATCGTTAAGCCAGCTCCGTGGGTGAGGCAGCGGACTCTACTATACTTGGTGCCGTACAACCGCCTCAATCGGGCTCGCGAGAGCCGCCGGCGTGCCACGCCTGCGACGCGTGCTTGCCGTGCTTTTTCTTGTGTGTGTGTGTGTGTGTGTCTACGTGTGTGTCCGCGCCGGACGGCTGCGAAGGTGTGCCGCCGCCGACCGCCTCAGATGATGTCAAAATCGAGGCATTTGTATGAACCCGCAACCCTGATTCGAACTCCGTGTACTCAAGCTACCTACATATATACACGGGACTGAACCAGTGGCGGTCGGCGGTGCGCGGCGGAGTGTGGGGAATGCTTTTGGCGGGAAGGGCGAATGAACCGTCGACGAGGACGGAGCAGCCGCCGCGACGCTGATGCCGCCGGTGCGTCTGGACGCGCAGTCCACCTTCCTCCCAGCCGCACTGGCCAACCCTGTGGGGGTGGCCGACCGATGTGCGTGTGTTCTGGCTTGAAGGGTGGTCGAGACTTGGTGGAGCTGTGGCAGATAGTGCGCTTTGCTTGTGTAAGTTCTTCGCTTTTTCTTTCTCTGTTTACTTCACAGGCTAATGACGGCGTTCGTTTGTTAGACAGCAGATTCGGGGTTTTTTTATGGCCTTGTTTACATGTTCCAAGTGTCGGATCAACGGAAAAGCTTTCTTTTCTTCTCGCGTGATATCTCTTGCGTGATTGGTGCCTTGGTTGGTCGTACAACAATAGCATAGTCGCAGACGCCACCAATTGTTTTCACGTGCGCTTATTCGGTATTGGTGAGTGCCGGAAGGGCGACTACTTTTTTTCCCGTTTGCGGTGTGTTTGAAGCCCGTATCGGTGCGCTGTTCGTGGGGCTTGCGGTGGAGCCTATGTCTGTCGGCTTACTCAATTGTTGAAGATGCGGTTAGCCTGCCGATGCCGTGGTGGATGTGGTAGTGCCTTTTGCCTGTCTTTACCTTCGTGTTGTGCATGCGGTGTGCGTCATGTTGTGGCACTGTCGTATGGGCTCATCGACTCACAGACACTACAAACACCGACACAAGTACAAGTGCCAAGAAATATATAAAACTAAGGATCATGGACGTAGCTGTCAAAGCGACTCGTTGCTCCCTGTAAAAAAAATAGGAATAGTAATAACATATGTCGTATGGAAATGGTGATGTGAAGAATGTTCCGTTCTTTTTTTGTTTTTACTGCTACGCAGCGGAGTCATCGAACCCCGCAACGCGGTACTTTATATTTGGCCTGCTTTTGTTTCCGCCGACTTTCTCCCTTTTCCTCACTTCCGATCCATTGGCACAAATGTGCTGTCTCACGTTCCTCTCTCTCTCTCTCTCATCAGTCGAGGGCAGACAGAACCCATTCGCAAGTTGCTTCGCTCATACACGTACATAGATAGACAAGACAAAAATAGACCGTAGATATATGTGTATTCTCGGTGGATTCAGAACGCGTCTTTCCACTCCTATACCGTATCCAAGCCCACGCACGCAACTACTTTCTTCTGCGCCTTCTTATTCTCCGCCGCCTGTCGAGCCGCACCGCAATAGCGGCACCGATCCATACCGCTCTTGACACACACACACACACACACACACAACCTTTTTTCCCCCACTTCCCGGGGATTCAACAGGGGTGATAGTCGTGTCTTATTCGCAGCGCCGTTGTTGCTTCGCGGTTTCGGTCTTGTAGATTTAACGATGCCACCAAGGCGAGGAAGAAGCCGTCAGCCCGCGAAGGCCGAGGAGCGAGTCGGTGCGGCGCTGAAGAAAGAGCGCGTGGAGGAGGAAGATGCAGAAGAGCAGCCGCCACAGCGACGCAGTGGGGAAGCGGAGGCGGTGCAGAATGGTGGGGATGCACACACCAACAACAGCCACAACGATGCGCCGGAAGCGACCACGGGTGCTGTGGCTTCGCACACTCATGCTGGGTCAGCGGTGAAGAGGGCAAGAATAGAGGTGCAAGATGCAGAAGAAGATGAGGACGATAAAAGCGCTAGCGATTCCCCTCCGTCGCCATCAGACGCGGAATCGTTCTCCAACGCAGTATCGGAGACAAGCGACGGAGAGGACACCGCCGCCCTCTGTCCGTCTCACCAGTCTGTAGATCCTTCCTCCACTCGCACCAGCGGAACGGAACTGGAGCTGATTCAAGCTGTGCCCTCCGCGTCTCCGATCGGTTTCACCGCCCACCCGCCGCAGCGCGACGACGATGCCGCCGCCGCCGCCGCCGCGTACGACGCCACCCCCCACACCCGCCTCGTTGTGCGCGACATCGATGTGGAGAACTTCAAGTCCTACTTTGGTCAGCATCGCATTGGCCCCTTCCACAAAACCTTCACCGCCGTGATCGGGCCGAACGGGTCTGGCAAGTCGAATGTGATTGACTCGATGTTGTTTGTGTTTGGCCGCAATGCGAAGAAGTTGCGACTGGACAAACTGGCGGAGGTGATTCACAACTCCGCCGCGCACCCGAACCTCTCCTACGCGTCCGTGACGGTGAACTTTATTCGTGTGCGGGAGACCGCTGCGGAGGAGAAGGACCCGGAGCAGCGGCAGGAGGTGCCGAACAGCGAGCTGCGCATCCGGCGCGAGGTGTACCGGAGCGGCGTCTCCCAGTACTACATCGACGGCGCCCGCAGCACGCAGAAGGAGGTAATGGAATGCCTCATCGCCCACGGCGTCGACCTCGAGCACAACCGCTTTCTCATCCTCCAGGGCGAGGTGGAGCAGATCGCGCTGATGAAGCCCAAGGCGGAGAAGGAGGGCGAGGAGGGTCTGCTCGAGTACCTGGACGATTTGATCGGCACAAACGAGTACGTGCAGCGCATTTCCGGCCTCACCGCGGCGGCCGAGACGGCGCAGCTGGCGCGGCTGGAGGCCCTCGATAAGGAGCGGAAGCTGAAGGCCGAGCGCGAGGCCCTCGACGACGCGAAGAACTCCACCCTGTCTTTCGTGACCAAAGACAACCAGCTGCAGAAGACGTTGATTGTGATGTGCCAGCTGCGCATGCGCGGCATTGAGGACAAGCTGGAGGAACCCCGACGGCTGCTGCAGGAGATCGATGAGCGCATCGCCGCGATGGAGGCGGCGGTGGTGCAGAAGCGTGAGGAGAAGGCGCAGGCCGAGGAAGCCTCCGTGACGGCCAAGAGGAACGTTGCCGCAGCGCAGAAGACCCGCGACGGGGTGCGGACGAAGAAGCAAGCGGCGGAGACCCAACTGGAGCAAGTGAAGTCGGGCGCCGATCAGGAAGAGAAGGCAAGGAAGAAAGTGCTGGATCAACTGCGCAAGGCGAAGGAGGAGCTGCAGAGGGCCCTCCTGCACCAGCAGGACGCGGAGCGCGAGGCGGCGATCCATCAGCAGAACCAAGATGAAGCGGCTGCGGCCGTTGTGTCGCTGCAGAGCGAGTACGACGCGATGGCCGAGAAGCTCCTCCCACAGCTGCGCCCGCTGCGGCAGTCGCTTGAGGAAAAGAAGCAGCAGTTCGCGCCGTATGAGCGGGCTGTCACGGAGGCCAAGGAGCAGCTGCGAACGGCGCAGAGCCGCCTACAGGACTTGTCCGGTACGGCGTCCCGCAAACAGCAGCAGCTGGAAGAGGTGGAAGCGTCTACCGCGCGTGGGGAGGCACGTGTGAAGGAGTTGGAGCAGCAGCTGCGTGATGCAGACCGCAAAGACCTCCAAGAAGAGGTGCTGCGTCTGCAGGACCAAATTGGTGAGAGTGCGCGGCGCAAGTACGCCATCAACAACGCGATCCAGGAGCTGAAGAACAGCTACCGAGACGGCGAGGCCGATGACCGGGCGATGGAGTTTCTGCTGGCGCAGCGATCGTTGAAGGGCTACTACGGCACGCTGCGTCAGCTCGGCCGCATCGATGACGCCTACGACGTCGCGGCGGGTGTCGCGAGCAACGCGTGGGGCTTCCACGTCGTCGAGGATCGCGCCACCGCGACAGCGGCGCTGGAGCTGCTGAAGCAGCACAACATCGGCCGTGCCACGATGATGGTGGTGAGCGAGGTGGAGCGGGAAATGGGCTCGCGCATGGCGGCGCCCTTCACCTGCCCGAACGCGAAGGCGCGGCGGCTCTTTGATCTCGTTCAGCCCACCAACTCGAAGTTTCGCTCCGTCTTCTATCAAGCGGTGCGGGACACGTTGGTGGTCGAGACGCTCACCGAAGCTCGTGAAACTGCCTTCGGGGGCGGCGGCGGCAACAACGGTAGCAAAAGCAATGGGGGTCCGGGGCAGCGGTATCGTGTGGTGACGGTGAAGGGGGAATTGGTGGAGCCGACGGGGGCAATCACCGGCGGCGGTGCTGCCCCACGCGGGGCGAAGCTGAAGGCCGCCCGCTCGCCGCAAGACAAGCAGGCGATCAAGGACGACCTCGAGCGGCTGCAGCACGACCTCATCAACGCCGCCGAGGAGGAGCGGGCGCTGAACGTGCGGCTGCACCAACTGCATGAGCAGGAGTCGCAGACCTCGCCGGAGCAGGTGCGGAAGATGCGGCGGGAGCTAAACGCGCTCGTCGCGAAGCTCGACGGCGACGTCGCACGCGTGGCGTCGCTGCGGGCGGAGCTGGCGCAGGCAACAGAGAAGTATCAGGCCAACCGGTCCGCGTGCGAGGCGGCGGTGTCGGCGTGCGAGACGGCGCTGGAGAAGGCGGAAAAGTCTCGCATCGCCCACCACGCGGACGTCGTGGCGTTGGAGAAGGCGGTGGACGAGGCCGGCGGTGCTCGATTTGCCGAGGTGAACGCGGCGCTGGCGATGCAGCAGGAACGGGTCGAGGCGGAGGAGGGCAGCCTGCGCGCCTGCCGTCGTCTCGCCCAGAAGCACCGCGCCACCCAGGAGCGGAAGCGCACCGACCTCGTCGAGTACGAGAAGCAGCTGAAGAAGTTGGACGAGGAGATGCAGGACAACGTGAAGGAGAACGTAAAGGAGTGCGTGGAGGCGCTGGAGGTGCTGGTGAAGGAGCTGAACGGGGCAGAGGCGCAGCTGGCGAACGCGCAGGCAGCCGCCGAGGACGCACGGGCCGCCATTCCTCTCATCAACGGCGCCGCCCTGAACGCGCAGAAGAGGCTGGACGACGAGCAGCGCTACCGCCAAACCGAAGCTGCGAAGATCGCCGATGCGTTGCAGGAACTCTCGAAGTTCCAGCAGAAGATTGAGGGCTGCGAGGAAAAGATACGCGAGAATGCGGAGTTGTACGGCGTAGAGACGCTGCAGCTCAGCGGCGACGCGGGGGAGGGCGGCGACGACGGTAAGAGCAGTAGGAAGGACGATGACGAGGAAGACGAGAAAGAGGAGACGGCATCGGAAGAAGAGGCAGAGGTGGAGGAGGAGAATCAAACGAGCAGGGAAGTCAGCAGCCGTAAGCGGGTCCGAGCCCACGCGCGTTGTCGCGGCAGTGACCGTCAGCGCCCCTCACAGCAATCGACAGCGTCCCTCTCCTCCTCCTCTCCTACCGCACGAGCTGCAAAGCGCCCGCACATCGAGGTGCGCCATATGACCTTTCGCCTCTCCCCAGCCGAACTGGACGGCTGTGACTACGACCGGTCGGTGCACCTCGCGAAGGCGCTGAGTGAGGAGACTCGCCGCCTGCACAGCGAGATCGACTTCCGCGCCGTCGCGCTGTGGCGCGAGCGGGATCTGGCGCACCGTCAAGCAAAGGCCTACTACGAGGCGAAGAAGGCGGTGTCCGACGAGGCGGAACAGGAGCTGATGACGCTCAAAGAAACACGTCGAGTGGCGTTCATGACCGCGTTCGAGCTGATTCGCACGCGGCTGAAGGAGGTGTACCAGCTGCTGACGCACGGCGGCGACGCGGATGTGGAGCTGGTCGATGTGAACGATCCTTTCGAAGGGATCAACTTTGTGGTACGCCCGCCGAAGAAGTCGTGGAAGCAGATATCGAACCTGTCGGGTGGGGAGAAGACCCTCGCCAGTCTGGCGCTCATCTTCGCCCTGCACTACATCAAGCCAACGCCCATCTACGTCATGGACGAGATCGACGCGGCGCTCGACTTCCGCAACGTGTCCATTGTGGCGAACTACGTCCTCCGCCAGGCGCGCGGGGCGCAGTTCATCATCATCTCCCTGCGGAACCACATGTTCGAGGAGGCCCACCAGCTTGTCGGGGTGTGCAAGGTGAACGACACGACCGCCACACTGGTGCTCATGCCGCGCAGCTTTCGCCGGTTAATAGCTGCGCAGTTGACGATGGCCGCGGCGGAGCGCCAGCAACAGCGCAGTGCGCGACGCGGCAGTCGCCGGCTCGAGGTCGACCGCAGCGACGGCAACGGAAATACGAACGACACACAATTCCATGGTGAGGGCGGCGCGAACGCGTTGGATGCTAACAAGGACAGCGATGCGGCTCGGTTGCCTGGGCCATCCTCTTCGCCTGGCACGGCCCGTCTGGGCGAGAATCGCAGCTCGCGTTCGTCGGGGTTCGATCAGCCACGAACGCCCTCCAGCGGAGCGCGGCCGACCGTTGGCGACGCCTCCCCCCTGTCCACACCCGCCTCATGCGGGCGGCCCTCCAGCGGCTCCGACGGCATCGCCGGCTCGCGTAAAAGCGTTCACTTTCACGCACCGTACGATGAGGATGACGGTGAAGCCGACAAGGACGATACGGTAGCGACCGGCGAAGCGTGATGGCTTTGCGGCTGCATTTCCCTGACCTCACTGCAGCGTGCAGGTGCGCAGTATATACGTTTGGCCTTTTTCAGATCCGTTTGGGTTTTGGGTTCTTCTCCCCCCGTAGACAACTTTTCCATTGAAGCGCTGTGCCCTCCAGAACGGTCGCCTCGTTTCACTCCTTTCATTGTCATTGAACGCGGGTTGTTGTTTTTTCTTTGGCGTTGTCGTTCTGAATTCTGTCCCACTAGACACCATCTCTTTGTTATTATTATTACTGTTTGTTGCTGACGCACATACACATATAGAATTACGCTGTGCTGCGCGGGGTACGCTTTGTTCATCTATGCTGTGTACCGAAGCGTGGCGCTGCGTTGCACTGATCCTATGGCTCGCTCACATGATCTCCTGTACACTTTCCGGCGTGCAGTGCGAAGTCGAAAAGCTGAAAGAACAACGCAAGCGAAGAGAATAAGGACACTTGCCGGTACGTTCTCGATGGCGCTGGCTCTTGATCTAATTGTTCTTGTTGCCGCTCTGATTGCGCAAAGAGAAAAAATGGCGTCTCTGTATGTCGGTAAGGCGGCATGTGACAGGTTTATTGGGAAAGGGAAAGAAGCGGACAGCGCACGCTCCCTCTCTCTAGACATGACTTTGACAGAGTTTGCTAGCTCAGTGAAATCGCCTTTAAAAAAGGAAAAGAACTCTCTCTTCCTCCACTTGAATTCTCCTTGCCCTGCGCAGCAGCAGCGGCTCTCCCTGCCGCTTTGAGGTTTTTTTTCTTTGCTTTCCTTTCGAACCTGTTGGACAGGAATCGTAGTGTGTGCTTACCAGAAAAGAAAACACGAATAACAGTTGATAACTTCGATGAGTTTCGAGCCTTCTCCGCGGCGTCGACGATCACGCGGTGGACGGGCGTGCGGCGTTGGTGTAGTGACGCTTGTGGCGCTTCTTTGCTGCTGTTTCCTCCTGCACACCGCGACCGTCGTTAGTGCAAAGGACTGCGCTATGACCGGCACGGGCACCATGGTCGCGTGGAAGCACGAGCAAGGCAGCTTCCAGTGCGTGAACTGCCTCGGCGCGTCTGCGGAGGCGGTGAAGACGGGAGCGGTGCGTCGGCAGTGGCGCGAGTACGACCGCGACCGCCGGCTGCTGAACTCGTTTGTGGAGGAGATGCGGGACGGGGCGCAGGTGGTGCTGCGGGATGAGGGGCGCGACATTGCGGTGTTGCTGCGGTCCGACCTCTGTGGCATCCGCACGGCCAACGAACAGAACTTCCGTCAGCTTTACGGCGGCTCCTTTATGTCGATCATCGACTGTACGTAAAGGGTATGGAGCGGCGACTGCACTTCTTTTGTTGTTGTTGCTCTTGTCGAGTGGAGGAGCGAAGGTAAGCGGGAAGGAGAAGCCTCGCTCGTACTCTTCTCTGTCTGTCCTTCGCGTGTGCCGTTGAATGAACTCCGTCGCAGTTTGTGGGGCGCTGGGCTTTTCATCTATGTGAACGATACTCCTCCGAGCTTGATGGGTGCGGGTTATCGGCCAGGGCTCCTTACAAATGACTAATTGCGTCTTCCAAAGGTGGCGTTTTTTTTTTCTTCCCTTCATCAGTGTTTCTCCGTCGCTGCCATTCCTACTACAACCGCTGATGTGTCTCTCTTCCCTATTGGGTATGTATTGTCTTGGCAACTCAGCATTGATGAGGATGCCGCATTCATCGCCTCTTCATCCCACCCTTTCCCCTTTCTCTTTAACGCGCGATGAAGCATGCCGTGGAGTGCTCTTGTGCAGGTGCACCGCCGCGTCTCTTCTTCTATTATAGTTTTTTTTACATAACTGCACACCGCGGCCCCGTGGAACACGCAGTTAAGCGGGGAAAAGGAAGATTATTTTTTTTTGCTTCACGCGAGTCGTACAGGAACTGCGACGTCGCCGCATTGGAGTCGCTTCGGTGCGCCTTCGTCACCCACCGCGACGTTGCCCGCCGCCTCTCGCGCAATCTTGGATAGTGTACAACTCGAAAAGGAAGATAGGATATATGTGTAATGCGGTGCGGGCGTCTCCTCCTCCACGGCAAACTCCGCTACCCCGTCGGCACCGGCAGCCTCGCCCTCGGCACGGAGCTGCTGCCCCTTCTGCCCTCCAACGACATCTTCTACGATCCTCCCAAGCTGCGCTACCGTCTTGACCAGGACGGCTACCTCTACTTCAAAAACACCGTACCGCGGGAGGTCGTCAGTGCAGGGCTCGATGACCTGGCCAACCAGATGCGCGCCTGTGCGTGGACGTTAGACGAAGACCGCGATAAGCAGGTCGCACAGAACGGGTTTGCTCTCGGTGTGCCCTACCCTTCGACCCCGGGCGAGCTGCCCCCCATCAGCATCCAGCACACCGACGCAATTCGCAACGCGGTCAGCGGCACGAGTGTGATGGCGACGGTGCGTCAGGTCTTCGGTGGTGCCGTTACGGCCACCACCTTGCAGACGCTGCATCTGGGGGCGCCGAGGGAGTCCTTTGGGTTTCGCATGCCGAGTGTCTTCTCCAACCGCGGCACAAAGCTGGCCCTCGTTGCGCTGGTGCCGCTGCACGACACGCCCCTGCACATGGGCACGCCGCTCGTGGTGCGCAGCAGCAACAGCCAGGACACGTACGCCCCGCTGCGGAAGACGTACGGGCAGTGGGAGGTGGAGAGCGACACGATCCGCGGCGATGGGTGCTACACGGAAAACCCAGCCGAGCTGGCGCCGCTTGGGAAGGTCGCCGGGCGCGACGAAGTGACGGGCGCGTCGATCATCGTCGATGTGAACCCGTTCGTTTCGTCCGCGTTCGAGGCGGGGGATCTGCTGCTGACCACCGTCTACACCATGCAATCGTTCCTCACGAACCAGACGAGCTGCTGGCGACTGATGGCGGAGGCGGTGTGGTGCATGGAGGGCGATGACGTCGGACTGGACCCGCGGTACACGGGACCCAACGCGGAAGGGCTCGCGACCTGGACGGAGCACCGCGATGACGCGGCCAAGTACCCGAAGACGCTGACGGAGGCGAAAAAGGAGTGGGGGCTGCTGAAGGACCTGTCGACGGTGGATGTGGCGGCAGCACCATCGTCGACGACGACGACGCCGTCCACGTAACAGCGGTATGACGGCGGGGGCAGAGCGACCTTGCTCGCCGAAAGACCGCTTGAGGGCGTGCCTCCACCTGGAGCTCTTGTTGATGAAGCGTTCTTGGCCTTCGTGGTGCACGTAGGCAGACGAATCGACATGTTTTGTGGGTGATGCGTTGGTTTGTTGTTACAGAGTTCTTTTTTGTTTGTTTTAAGGTTTTTCTAATGGGCTGTTCTTCTCCATGCATGCCTTTCATCTCGCGTGCTTAACCTGGCACGTGGTTTTCCGTTTAAAAGCTAAGGGGAAGAAGGAAACGTACAGACCAAATGAAAAAAAAAAATGGGAAAAGGAAGAAGAAAAAAGGCCGCAGGTCGGCAGAGATTCGTGACAGAGCACTTTCGCCTCCTCACTTCATTCCAATGGGTGTCACGGCGCACGGGTGCTCGACTTGCCGTTCATTTCGTGCTGCTTGTGCCTTTTCCAATTGCTGTCTGTTTGTTTGCTGAACCACCCCATCGCGGATCATCAGCATCATCATCATGCACTCCCTCCATTCTCATGCGTTATCCGTACTTTTGCTACGCCTGTCTCTCCGTTCCCGCATAGTCCAGTCACTCGGACCGCTGTGTCGGCATCCCCTCCGCAACTGCCCAGGTGCGGTCTGTGTGCCCGGTCGCGCCCATATTTCCGGGTAGGTATACGCGTCATCCGCCATCGCGAACGGCAAGTTTTCGTGTACGTGCGCGCCATCACAACGGTGCTCCCACGTGCTGTGCTCCACAGCGGCAAGAAAAGAAAACGTTCGAGTGAAAGCATTGGAGTTCTGCCATCCCACTTTCCTTTGAGAATGCTGCGCCGTAGTACCGCCACGTCACAGCTGCAGCTCAGCCTGGCGGCCGCCAGCGCCACGCGATCGTGCGGGCCGGCAGCCCTCCACGGCCCCACAAGAGCCCTCTTTGACAACCTAAAGAAGCAGCTTGGTGTCGTGGCGGGCAACAGCAGCGGCAGCTCTGCAGGGGAGCCAAACGCGCCACCTGGCTTTCCGCCCGGGTTCAACGCCCAGCAGATGCAGACGCTGCAGCAGCTCTTCAACAGCCAGCCGAAGGAAAAGCAAGCTCAGCTGATGACGCAGGCGATGGAGATGCAAAAGATGATGAGTCGGATCCCTGGCATGGGGAAGATGGCGCAGAAGAACGCCGCAATGCTGGAGCAGATGCTGAAGATGCAGGGCGCTGCTCCCGCTGCGGCAGCGGCACCGGCCAGCAACGACAACAGCGGCCCGACAGCGCCGCCGTCATCTGCGCGTCGTGATCTCTTTCGTGATGCCACCACCGCAACACCCAACAAACCCCGCTCTGGGCCCTCGCTGGACGAGCTAAAGAAGGTGAACCTCGGGCCTGAAATCGAGGCCCTGTTCGACGAACTCCGCACCACTCGTCAGCGCAAGAACGAATACCGTGATAAGTACCACGCGGCGCAATCCTCCCTGGACGAGCTGCGCAAGGCGCACAACGACCTCGCCGCACGAGAGACGAACGTGCGTGGTAAGCTGGCAAAGGCAGAGCAGGATGTCATGCTCCTGACTTCTGAGAACATGGAACTGCGCGACAGCAGCAAGGCAGTGAAGCAGCTCACCCACACGAACCGGCAGCTGAAGCACGAGGTGGACCAGTTGAGGTCGGCCGCGCAGGCGAGCGCCGCACCCGGCACAGCCTCCTACGCCGCCCTCAAGCAGCGGCACCGCGCTACTGAGGACGCCCTACGGTCGCTGCAGCGCAAAGTTGATCGCATGCGCCGTCGCGATCCGCTGTTGCAGTTCTCACTGGCCTGCAGTGATGTCAGTCGTCTGTGCACGTCGATTCGCGCAGACGACCACTTCAGCAGTAGTGGTGGTGGTGGTGAGAGTAGTGCCGCTGCTGGTGGCGGTGGAGGTAGTAGCAATGCGAAGGAAGCGCTTGGTGAGGCAGGACAGGAGGCGGCGGAGCAGGCCTTTGCGGATCTGCAGCGCATCTACCTCCAGCGACTGCAGGAGGCGTGGACGGCAGCGGGGCACGAGCACGGCGCTGCTGCACGCGCGTACGTGGCGGTCGTGCGGCGGTACGTCATGACCCGCGTTCCGCACGCCAACTACGACGCCGTGGTGTCCTTCACGGGTGATGTGGCGGCCCTGCGCGCGGTGTTCACGGGCGTCGGATTTACTGTGGAGTCCATCCCAGGTGACGGCAACAGGGTGCACGTGGTGGCGGCGGCCGGAGCGGCGCCGTGGACAGATATGCCTGGTCCGTACGGGTACGCGTTTGCGCTCCGCCTGTCAGCCGCTGGTGATCCGCCAAACAGCAGCAGCAGCAGTAGCGGGACTGGGGGGAGGGCCGCGTTTACCGTGACGAGCGCGCATCCCTTCGTCTCTGCCACGCTGATGCACAACGACAAGCGCTGCGGCGTGCAGTACGAGACGGCCCGCGCCAGCGGCCCTGGCGGGCAGGCGACGAACGTTAGCGAGACGCAGGTCTACGCGAAGTGCAGCATCGACGGTGTGCCAGCCTTCACCGCCGAGTCGCAGGACTCGCGCAGCGCCATGAGCAACAAGGAGGCGGCGCTTGAGAAGCTGCGTCAGCAGCGCCGGCAGCAGTACAACGACACGCTGGCGAAGCAGGAGAAGGCAGAGGCGGTGCAAGCGCAGTTGGTCGAGGCCGTGCGTGGACAGGGCGGGCTGACGATGGATGAGGAGGTGCTGCGGCTGGTGCAGGAGGCCGCGGCGGCGAGGCAAATCACCGCAGGGGACGCGGCGCTGGTGACGATGATGCGGGAGCTGAGCCGCAGTGCCGCGTCGACAATTTAAACGGCTGTCTGTGGGTGGGAGTGCGGGGAGTGCGAGTGTCTGTGCGTGAGTGTGGTTGTGTGTGGCCCAGATCGTCAACGCAGCTCGTCGGCCGCACCGCCTTTGGGGGCGTCTGCGTTGACGCGTTGTGACTTCTTTCTTTCTTTCTTCCTTTTTTCATTTGCCGATAATGTTGTTGCTTTCGATGACCGCGGATGCGCCGTCTGTGTTGGTTGGATCAGAAAACAGAACAGGTGGAGAGAGGCACGGTGCGTTGGTCACCGTGACGGAGGAACTCGTTGTCTCTTTTTGTTTGCGTTGCTGGCAGCGGTCGGTGTTGCGGCGCATCTTCTTCTTTTTCTTGTTCTTCTGATTCGCAAGGGGCGCTGTTGTTGTGCTGTGCCCTCTGAGAGGTGCACACACACATATATATTACCGACGCAATCACTACACAGAGAGAGAAAAACAGTTGATGCAATCCACTTGCCGGAAATGACTGGAAACGAAAGAGGTGTCATGCAGCCCCGTATCTGAAGCCGCGGGTGTGTAGGGGGTGACGCTTCCCAGGTGACTTCTCACGCAGGTGCGAAGGCATTTGCCCGCACACACACTCACGCTCACACACACAAAATATTTTTGATTGTTCTCTCAAGTTTCATCGTTGTGCCTCCACTCCTCGCTCTTTTCTCTTTTCTCTCATCCTCGCATACGTTTTCTGATAACGCTCCATACACACACACGCGCGCGCGTGCGCTAGCAAACGTACAATTAATACAGTGAAAGTTACGCTTTGGCTCTTTACTCCCCTTCTGGAGCACCATCAACAGTGGCCGTAAAAGGAAAAAAGAAAAGTAGTAACACGAAGGATTCTGCCCGCCGTGTGTCTCTCCACTTTTAGCGAGGATTCTGCTTGATTCACGGGAGCACTCCTGAAGAGGAAAGAGAAGATAAAGGTCTATTTACTACTTTAACTTTTAAAACAAAAGAAACAAGAGCGGAACCTTTTCTTTTCTCCTCCTCGGTTTTTCTATTACTGTTTCTTTTTTTGATATACTCGTGTGCCTTCTCGAAGCCTGCGTACGGGAGGAGGTGTGAATAATTCTAATTCTTCCTCACACCGTTGCGATCCTTCTTACTTTCATTCATTCATTTTCCGTTTTTTGTTTGTTTTTTGAGGGGTTTGTTTGTGTGTTAGACGTGTTGTGCAAAGCAGGAAAAACGATAGAGCATCTTTTGGGGGTTTTTCTTGTCGTGTGTGTTTGCGTCTGTCTGCGTGTATCTGCTTCTCTCTCTTGGGTGGTTTTTTTTTTTGTAAAGTACCGCGACAAGTATCACGTGAATACACGATTCGGTATCCTTCTCTGTCTCTTCTCTTTTTGGACTTTGCTCTTCTAACCGTCACAGCAGTTCACGCTACGGTTGCCTCGGTGAGACGATTCCTACATTCACTTTTCTGTTTTCGCGACTTGCTCGCATCATCATCATCATCACCACCATTGCTCTAATTGGTTTTCCTCTCTCTCTCTCTCTCTCTATCTTTTGTCTGTATTTTTGCACTTCAGGTTCGCAGACTGCTTTTCGTGTCTTGTGAGAGCGCGTGTTTGCTTATCTCGTCCCCCGCTGGATCTCGTAGACAACGATTATTATTATTGCTATTATTATCATAAATATATATTATATATATATATATATATATATTTGTTCTTCTTGCTGTCCAGCTTCAGCGCGCACGCATTCGCACTCGCCTTCACCCCTCCCTCGTCTTGTTCTTTCTTGTTTTCACTCTTTCCGTTATTCCCGTGTCGCGGTAGAAAGGAAAAAGCACTCGTTCTGACCTACCGTGTACATCGGTGCCCGAACTCGTGCAGCGTCGTGCTGATTCGACTTCCCCACGCTGCAGTAGAACAACCCCGATACAGACGATTCAAGAGTTTAACTACTTTTCTACTTAAACAACAATAGAACAATTTTAAAAGAAAAAGACCAATAAAGCCTAAAACTATCACAGAACTACAAAAAGAAAAACAACATTCTTTGCGACCTGTTTCATCCGTTTGTTATATTGCACTCTTTTTTTTCTTGTTTTGCTTGTGTGCGTCTTCATTTCCCCTAATTGATTGTTGTTCGCTTCCACTTGATTTCTTTCTCCCCCTTCCATTTTCGAATTACGAGTAGAGAGCCGTATCTGTCGGCTAAACTATAGTTCTTATCTCCTGCGTTTTCTATTCATCTGTGTGTGTGTGTGTTTGTGTGCTTACGACGTCGAGCAGGTGCTGATTTTTTTCCTTAGGCTTTTTTTTTGATTGTTGTTTTTATTTATTGCTGTTGTGATCGTCCATTTCACGTGTTCGTTCCCGCCGCCTGACTGCTCTTCTTTCCGGTTTTTTTGTTTGTTTCCCTCTCAGATTATCTTCTCTGTTGCGTGTGTTTGTGCCACTCGGCAACCTTTCTTTGGAGATACTTGCTGACATAAAATAAAAAAGCGGATAGGTTTTTTTTGGTTTTTCTCATATAGAATAATACGTGCTTCTGCTTCTGATTGCAAAGAAACAATGGTTGCTGGTGCGTCGCCTCCTCCAGCGCTCTCCGCGGCGCTGCTGGTGGAGGAGATCACCTCAGACGCATCGCTTGCAGACGAGGAGGTGACGACGGAGGCGGCAACTAGCGCCACGAGCGTCGTCGTGAAGGCCGCCGCGGCGTGCTTTACGGCTGCCTCCTCGCCCTCCTCTGCGCATGCGTCGTCCGCGTCTGCGGCCACGCTGAAGCAGCATCAACGTCTGCTCGCACGGCGGCACTTGAATCTTTCACGCCGCCTGCACCCACGCATGTCCACGCTGGAGGCGAAGATGGTTGTGTGCAACTTCAACTCCCGCCTGAGCGGCGTCACGCTGGAGGAGCGGCGGATGGCGGATGAAGTGGCCTTTTGGGAGGAGCGCGTGGCGAACCTCTAGTCACGGCACACCATCCGAACACGCACGCACACACTCCCTTCCCCTTATTCAAACAACGATGTATCTGTCGAAGCAGCGAATGCGAGGAAGCGCACACACCATCGCACACGCACGCCGTGGAGCACCGAGAAGCGGCAAAAGAGAAAAGCAACCCCAAATAGAATCAACAGCGTTATCGAGAAGGGTTTTCTCCTCTTTTTACCTTGCTCTCGCGTAGTTTCCGCTGCGTTGATGATGATGGAAACGGCACGGTATACGCACCACGCTCGCTGGTAGGCTGCTTATTATTATTATTATTATTATTAATGTTATGACTGTCAACTGTTGTCATTTATTTCTTCTCCGTAGTTTCATTGCGGCAGATGCAGCAGCTGCAGGCGCTCGCAAGCCTGCCGCACGCGCGCCGGATATCCCCATGTCCAATCGATCGCGTTTCCCTGTAACACTAACATTCCGATGTATCATTGAACAGTGTACCGAAATGGAAACTCGAACCAGCAGAAAAAAAAACACCTTAAAAAAGATAACAAAAATAAAATATAAAAAATAAAAATACACAAAAGAGAAACTCTGTTTTTCTTCGTTCTCCTTTCTCTTTATTATTGTTTCCTACGTCACATTCTTGTTTTTTGTTCTCTCTCTCTCTCTCTCTTGTTTCTGTTTTGCTATTTGAATACACCGAGTATCACGAGCGCCGCTCTCATCGCAGGCGGTTTGCGACTCCTTTCACATTTTTTCTTTTTTCTTTACTGTTGTCTTGTTTGGTGGATGTTGTCATCGCAGCGGACGCAGCTCACTGCTTCTTCTTTTCTACATCGCCCTCTCCTACCTGCGCGCATTACTTCAAGTACTTTTTCTTGTTCTCCCATGACAAGCAGGAAAGATAGGTGGGTGAAGATGAAGCAAAGTAATTCCCTTCTAGTCCTTTTTTTCTTTCTTTCTTTCTTCTTTTCAACTGACGCTATCAACCTTGCTGCCGCCACACACGCAAAGGCAGGGGCTGACAGCGCCACTTTCCGCGGCATGTGCGTAAATCGTTAGTACTCGGCTTCGTCTCTTGTCATTGTATCTCCTTTTGGTTTCTTCTGTTCTCTTTACTGTTCTCTTATCTGTTTTTCTTTATTCCTTTTTTCACCCCAACCTCATTCCTGTGATTTGCCTCTCCGCGTGTCGTTGAGTGCAAGAAGTTCTTTGAAAACTGTGAGGCCACACGCAGCACGCCTGAGCGACGACAGTGACGTTGCCCACGTGCGCATGTGCCAACGAAAGCAGAAAGGGTGCGGTGCAACACCTCAGCTCACAGAGAAACGGAGGTAAAGAAGAGAAAGAAAAATCAGCAGCTGATTAAGACAAGAAGAATAAGAATAATAGGACAATAAATCGGTCAACGCAAGAAGAAACAAAGAGGAGCGTTCTGCTTTCAAACGAAGTCCTTTTCTCGCTACTTCTTTACTGGCGCGCTGCATTATTACTATTATTATTATCTTCTGGTGAGGTGGCTCTGAGAGTGTAACGCGAGCACTAAATCTATCATTCGGTGCAGTCTTACCCTTCACGCACGTGGGAGCCACACACCTTCCGTATCCTCAGCAGTGTTTACTGCTGTCGTGAGGATGGCGCTTTCCACGCGAGCGTCTTTCCTCGTCCTTTCTTCGTGAACGGAAAGGGCAAGAAAACAAACAGGAAAAAAAGTTAGAGGCACCGCGCTGGAGCGTATTTGTGTCTGTTTTTGCACGGACCGTGTAGCAAGAGAAGAAAGGGAAAAGGCGCGTTGTTGACTCGAAGCATCCTTGGAAAGCACTAGCAAAAAAGGGAAAGATGTTGTCCCCTTTCTGCCTTGGCTTTCTTATCAATTTATTTCTGCCTTTGCGTGTGTGCATCCCTGGAGACGAATTTTTCTATCTATGCTGCCTTTTTTTTTTTTCAAGACCACAGAAGCCGCAAACTCGACGCGTGGAAGATGACCGCGATCTCCTCCTTTTATTTGTTTGTTTCTTCCACTTGTTGGTGCAGACCGGTACTTGAATCTTTTGAATGGAGAGTTACGTGAAACTCAGCAACGAACGAAGGAGAATAATGTGTTGCCTCGCTGCCTTGCTGATGTTTTCTTGTTTCTCTTACTCTTCCTTCGAAGCATGCGGCTCTAAAAACAAAGCATAGATAACTCCTAACGGTGGAGAGTAATAATAACAATCGTGGTGTCAGCGCCTCTTTTTCTTCTTTTTTTTTCTCTTCCTCTCTTTTCCGTAACCGTCTTGTCCGTTGTTGTTATTATGATTATTTGGGCGGCAATTCCTCCAGCATCGAACAGCGGTACATACGCGTTCGCCCCTCCGCACGTGCGGTGGTGCGACAATCTCCTTTTTTCCCCTTTTCGCTTCTACTACCTTTCTCCTTTTCTATTTCGCAGAGGTGCTCGTCCTCGCTCTGCCCCTTCCTTCCTTCGTGCCCTGTCTCAACCTTGAGCGAGCTTACAGGATGCACCTTTCATTTTGTTGTGATTATTACGACTATTATAGCAGCTGGAGGTACACGGCTACCTCCGGCGTGTGCGCAAAGACAAACCCACCACGAGTGAGGAAAAGAAGGAGGCGATGTTGATGGAAGAAGGTCAGGAAAGGACTGTGCGTGCACTGCATCGAAAGCGTCCTCCATCTTCAAAAGGCGCTGAACTTGAAGAAACGAAGAAGATGCGGTGCATCGTCTTTTGACGGCTGCGGCGAGGCTTGGGGGCTCATCTGGCTACCTTGCTGCGGCAGCGACTTCGATGGTTGCATCCCCACATTCTTCTCTATTTTCTTCTCTGTTTACTATTTCTCGCTCTCTCTCTCTCTTTCGCGCTGTCGCTCATTGCTTTCGATTCTTGCTTCGCGCCGGTGCAACGGTTTGGAAGGCGCACACACAGCACGAACACACAACTGTTGTACTCTCTCGAAGTTGTAGCGGAACATTACAAGAGCACGAGACGCGTGGCAAGGACACGATAGAACAGACGATCACAACAACCACAGACAAGCAAGCAAACAAAAAAAAAAACTCATTTATGTTTGGAAGCGGTAGCGGCGCTGCGCCGAGCCATCCGGGGCAGCACGGCGGTGCGTCCGCTGCAGGGGCGAGCTCACAAACGGCCGCGGGCTCGGCGGGTCCGAGCTCGACGGCGACTCCCCACTTTCAGCACTATTCGTTTAGCACGCCGTTTGGAAACACAGGCGTGTGCACCTTTGTTGCAGCCTTTGGCGCGGGCCCGCCAGATTCGGCGGCGCCTCCAACAACTGGACCCAGTTTCGTCTCCCATCCGTCTGGAGCCGCCTCGCAGGCTCCAGCGTCTTTCCACACAGCAGGGTGGTTTGGGGTAGAGCTGGGAGAGGAGGGCGTTCCCTTGCCGTCTTCGCCGGAGTGGCCGCTGCGCGACTGCCCGCCGCTGAACGCGGAGGAGGTCGTTTCCACCTTTGATGTCGTGACACCGACGTCCTCTGCGGCACCGCGAGAGGAGGAAGGGTGTGCCATCTGTTTGGAGAGCCTCTTCAAAGATGTCGTCCACGGGAGCAAAGCGGCGCACCGGTCACGGCAGCCACACGGTGCAACGTCTGCGGTGACGCGTGGGCACGACAGCAGGAGCAGCAAGGAAAGCGAACCCAACGCCTCAGCGCTGTCGGGAGACTCTCTTGCCTCCCCCTCAGGCGATCCGGCACGGTCACCCGCGGACGGCGACACGGGCGAGGTGGACGAAGCCGGCGGTGCGCCGACGTCGACGGAGGTGGTGCGGGAGGTGTACTGCGGTCACCGCTTTCACGAGGTGTGCATTCGCAATTGGATCAGCATCGGCCACTACAAATGCCCGCTGTGCCGTGCACCCTTCGTGTACGAGTAGAAAAAGGAAAGCACCCGTTTTTGTGTGTATGTGCGAGAAGGGTCGGACTGTGGCAACCACCGCGTTCCTTCCCTTTGGGTACTGTCTCGAAGGTTACATCCGGTGGGTTTTTATGAGAGGCTTCTCCTTCTCCTCCTTCTCCGCCGTGTCGGGATGCAGCGTGGTGTGACGGTGCGATGTCGGCATGCTGTTGTTTTTGGCCTTTCCTCTTTCAGCTTTCCACTTGATCTGTTCGTACTGTACGGCGAAGGGGGAAACGATGGGTTGCACTTTGTGGCCGTTACGGACCGATAAATGCTGTTGTAAAAAAGCAGACTTCCTCGCCGGGCTGCATATATATACAGTTGTTGAGGCATCACGTGTTGGTGGTGTTCCGCACTTTATTATTATTATTATTTCTATTGATTGCCGTGACTACTGCCGGTGTTGCCTGGCTCCTCTTTTCGCTTCTCTGCGCTTATTGGCCATATACAGTTGAGTATCTCAGCGGCATCATTTGTGTTCTACAAAACTTCGTCCTTGTTATCCCTCCTCCTGCTGGACAAATCCTCCTCTTGGTGGTTCTCCACCCGCGCCCTCCACACGGTGTTGCTTCGGTCCATTCTTCTTTCGCCCTCCCTCGTTCTCTCCTTCACTCACGCAGCTGCTTCTTCGCTTTTTGTTTTTCTTTTCTTCTCTGGGCTCCTCCACCCGCGCTTACACACATCACCAAGTTGATCCACGACCGTCTCGTCGCGCGTGTGTGTTGGTTTGATCCTACTTGTTGATTTATTATTATTATTATTATATCAGCTGTACTTCTTCCCCTATCGCGCGGTGTTCATCTAAAAGCCTCTCCTCCTGCTTTTCCCGCTCCCTTCGCTATTCGTATTTCATTCGTTTCTCTTTGCTGCTGCTCCGTCACACAACATGTCCAGCCCGACCGGTGCCACCGCGGAGTCGCACGCCCTCTACGGCGCCGTTGTGGTGCGGCTCGTTGACCGGGTGATGCTCAGCAAAGCGCCCGGTGTCCCCACCGACGGCTTCGCTATTCCCGGCACCGCCTGGGCGGACCTCGTCAGCCGCTGCAGCGCACCGCACTTCCGCACCTCCGCCTTTTTAAACGTGATCGCCGACCGCGATCCGACGGAGGAGGTGGCGCTGTCCTACCACATAATGACGGATGACGCGCTGGGCTACGGCATCATCGGCGCGAAAGGTGTCAGCCGTCGCGAGGGCCACGCCGCGCTGGACGAGCTGGCCGCGTTATTTAAGCGGATGTTTGTCGAGCCGGCGGCGAAGCTAAACCCGAAGTTGGTGGACGTCTTTGCTCGTCCGGCGCGGGATTTGCTGGTGAAGCAAGGCAGCAGCAGCGGCAGCGGCGGCGTGGCAGGAGACAGCAGCGAGAACAAAGTCAAGAAGGTGAAGCTGGCTGTGGAGGACGTGAAGAACATGGCCCTCGATAACGTTGAGCGGGTGATCCAGCGGGGGCAGCGCATTGATGACATCGTGCAGGCCACCGACGACTTGCAGTTCCAGGCAGAAGGGTTTCAGCGCAACAGCCGCGACCTGCGTAATCAAATGTGGTGGAGCTCGATGCAGGGGAGGTTGATGATCTGCGGCGTCGCTGCGTTTATGCTCCTCCTCATCTACTTCACCTTCTTTATGGGTGGGAAGAGCTCCCCAACGACCACCACAGCAGCACCGGCACCGCCAGGATTTTGATACAAACGCCGAAGGAACAACAACAGAAAGAGAAGGAATCGTCGTTGCGCTGCGGGTTTTTGTTGTGATAGAGAGAGAGATGAAGCTGTCTAACGAGGGCGAAGGGTGTGGTGTGGACAAATTTTTGTTTGTTGCTGCTGTTGTGGGAGTGATAGAGAGGAGCTGCAACTTGATTTCTTTCCCTCTCCCCATGCTTGCTTGTTGCATTCCGGGGTTTTTTTTTTTTTGCTTTTGTGGTTGTTGTCGCTGTTCGCACTTGTTCGCCTTCCCGATCCTCTCCCCCTCTCTTTCTCTCATACACGCAGACTTGATGACTTCACGTGCTGACGCTGTCTTTCATCTCTCCTCCGAATAGGTATCATAGTAGTAATAATAATAATAATAATAAAACTGGTACCTCGACGTATTTTGTAAACGCCTTGCGGGTCTCTTTGCCGTTCTTTTCTTTTCGAGGTGATGGAAGTGTCGAAGAGGCGCCACCCCAGTCGCGGAGGCCCATAGATTTATAAAAGGAAGAGTGCATGCCGCTTGGTGTGCCAGGTGGAGGGGGGGGGGGTAAGGGGGGCGAAGCGGAGCATCCGCAGCGGGGACGGCCCGTATTGTTGTTGCCGTAGTTGTGTCTCCTTTTGAAGGTCCTTTTGTTTCTTCTCGTTTGATTTCCCATCGCGAAGGCGATGAAATGGGGATGTTTGTTGAACGGCAGGTAACCTCGCGGGGCAGCCTTTGACGGGCCTGAAGCGCGTTTCAGCACTCTCTTCCTTTCTTTATTTCGGATGGTCCCCCTATGGTCAGGATCGCAAGAGAAGAGAAGAAGAAGAAAAATCGACATTCATGTAGCGTGAAGCTAGCATGTGCGTGCGGACGGAGCTGAGGTCAAGAGCGTGTGTGTCTGTATCTGCGCTCGTGGTGGCAGGCTGCCCAGCTTACTGCTTTCTTATTCCGTTTCTTTTTCGTTCTACTTTCCTCCTCCTTCGCTGTTGCTGTGCTGCTGCACTTCCCTGACGAATGCGCGGCGTCTCCCCCTCTCCCTCTCCCTCTCGTTGCATTCACTGCGAGTATCACGACGCACAGCAACAGTTGATAGAAAGCAAAAACACCTACCAGAGAAGAGCCATATTGTGTATCAAAAGAAAGAGTACCCTGTGTGCGTGCGTGTGCGTGTGTGCAGCTTTTGGTCTACGTAGCCATCGTGGTGGTGCATCGGGACTCGCACACACCGACATTCTTCCCCCCTCCACGCTGTTGCCCATCTGTGTGTTTGTTTTGTTGGGCTGGTAGGCCAGAGAGCAAGTCACCATTCTCCGCCGCTGCGAATTGGGTACGTGATGTCCGCCCATCGACTCGGAGTGTCCGCTCACTCCGACGAGCAGCAGCAGCAGCAGCAGCAGCAGCCGAAGCGCAACTTGGCTGCCGGCAAGCGTCTCGCTCCCCTTCCACCGGGGCTGCGCAGCCGTGTCCGCGGAACCCCTTCGGACGCCGCAGCCGCCCACTCACCACCACCACCAAGGACGCAGCAGCGAAGCAGCAGCCAGACGCGCTTCAACGAGAAAGACGGCCGTCGCCACCTTCCGCCGGTCTCGCGGGGCGGTCCCTCCTCCTCTTCCTTCTCTTCCTCGGCCCCTGCCGCTGCCTTTGCGTCGACGGCGCCGCCCGCGCGGGACGGCCGCCGGTCCGCACCTCCGACGGCAGCCGACGCAGCGGCAGGCCACAGCCACCGCGCAAGTAACACCAGCGTGAGCTGCAGCGGTGGTGGTGGTGGTGGCGCGTCAGCTGCTGCGGCTGCGGCTGCTGCACCATCTTCTTCGTCCTCCTCTTGCGCTCCTCCCACGGCGCCGCGGGCCTCCACCTCGGAAGGGATGCGGCGGCCGAGCCCGTCAAAGGCGGCCGCATCGGTCAACGTCACGACGCATGGGGCGAACCGGAGTACGCTAGCCCACGGCGGCGCCACTGCTGCAGCCGCCTCGGCGCGTGTGGAGCGGCCGACGCCACGTGCACCGGTGCTGTCGCGGGCGTCTGCCCGTGCCCCACCACGTGAAGAGAGCACCACCGGCGCCACCCCCACCAACACAGCAAGTGCAGGCGGACAGGCCCTGCAGGAACCGCACGGCGCGACGCCCCCTGCGCACCACGCAGCACCGCCGCAGCCGGCTGCGGAGGTGAAGGTGCACTTCAGCGCGCCGGGGTTTCCGCCGGCGCCGCATGATATGGAGACGCGCTTCTACACCGATAAAAGTGAATGGTGCGACGAAAGCGAGCTGCCACCGCTGGTGTGGTCCTTGCTAGACGGCACCTCGTTAGAGGCGCCGCACACCAGCTACCTCTGGACACAGGCCTACCCGCAGCCGGGCGAGCTGCTGCCGCCGCCGCCCTTGCCAAATACGAAGCCACTCTACCACGAACGAAGAGAGGACAACGCCAGCGACACGCCAGAGCCGTTGCCGCTGCCGCTGCAGCACCGCGACAGCGAGAAGCGCCGCGGCGGGTTCTACGCCTGTGTGCGGTGCGCCACGCCCATCTGCAGCCCGCACTTTCAAGTCGTACCCGCCGCTCCCGCTCTGCGGGGCATCGCCGTCTTCAGTCGCCTGCATCTCAATGCCGTCGACCTGCGCGTGCGGGCGGCCGGCGGGGACACCACACGTGCGCAGCGCCCGTCTTTCTCGTCCGCCTCGTACCACACGCCCCTTCGCAGCGGCGGCGGAGCGCTGACGTCGATGAGTGAGGCCGATGCGCTGCTGCAGGCGGCAGGCGGTGGCATGCGTTTCCTGGTCCACTGCCACCACTGCGGCGGCTGCCTCGGTGCGATGTTTATCGGCGAGATCACCGCCCCACCGTCAGCCTCACCACCCACGCCGACCGCGGCGCGGGAGCTGCTGTGTGTGAACAGCGTGTGCCTGCGGTACATGCGGTACCGCACGCGCGCCCCGCTGGACGGCGAGCTGCTCGGGCGCTCGTCAGGGACCACCGCCGCCGCTGCCGCTGCTTCTACTGCATCGACGACGACGGGTGTGACGATGGGTGCCCTCTTTGGCTCCCCGCGGTACACGGCGTGGAATCTGCAGGGGAGGGTTGACGGAGCCGAGGACGCCGCTGACGACGATAGCGAGCGCGGAGGCGATGCGAGTTCGTTTGCCGAGTTGTTGGAGTCGCTGAATCCGTACAGCGGCAAAGGCGACGATGACTCCGACTAGCCGGCGTGGACGCACCTCGAATGGTGTGTGTGCATTTTGTTTTATTTCTTTCTTCAAAGGGCAGCCGACGCTTCTCCGCTCTGTGGATGTGTATGAGCAACCGTGCTACACTTCAAGTCTTGTACTCCAGCCATCACCACCAGAAGCCCAACAGCACTTCAAAGAACATCATAAGTCCGAAGGTCAACACGGTGGTGTTGCGATCAGTGATGTAGATATTGCTGCCTTCTTGTTTAAACCTAAGTCTAAATGGCAGTACGACGCCGTCGCCGTCGGAGCGCACCGTTGATGCCCCGGCTGTCGTTTAAGTGGCTGCAAAACGGTCTGTTTTTTTTTTCCTTTCTTTCTGTGAGGGTTGCTGCCGTGCTGTACTTCATATCCCGTTTGCGCGTCCGGTTGCTGCTCTTCTCCCCCGCCGTAATACACATGTATATTTTATCAAACAGACGGAGGAGCAGCACCGGCATCGTGGACGTTGTCAAGTGGATCATACATCCTCACTGAAGCAACGACCATGCAGTGGCGAGCGCTCTGCGAAGTGGTTCCACCACCTTTTGCCGCACCTTGAGCTCAAGTTAATTTCTGGTTTTGCTTTCCAACTGGCAATGATTAGCAGATCAGCGGATGGATTTTTAAAAGAGCAGTGCAGCTGTGCACACATGCTGTTGCGCCTCTGAAACGGCGCGTTGGGCACGTTTTCATTGCACCCGGCTTTCCTTCCACTCTCTCTTTCTCTCTCGCCCTCGGTTACTTCGTTTCTCTCACACGCGGCGACACAACTTGAACTGGGTTTCTTCGCATCCGCTCTTACATCATCATCATCAACCATCATGACAACGCTGATTAAAGGGAATTTAAACTTTTACATATTTCACTTACAAACAAACGAACTCATCAGCAACGACAAGAGGCACGCGCACGTTTCATTTGGCTTCGCGCTTCGGGCAGAACACATATTTTTTGTTTTCTGGGGAGTGCCCTCCGACCAATCAAGTTACGGTAGCATTCCGGTAGTGGGGAGGCACAGCAGCCACACCGGCACACATACACGCGTACATCAGGCGTTTTCTCGGCCAGGGATTGTCATCTATATCCCTGTGATTGCGTGTGTTGTTTTTTTGTTTTTCTTCAAATCATTATTATTCCGTGTAGGAGGAGGAGTGTGTGTGTGCGTGCGTGTGTGTGCTCGTCAGAGCTTCGACTGGTGCCTCTCTCCCTCTCTATCGCACCTCGTAAAATAGATAAAAGTTATATAAGCATACAAGCACCGCGTTGACAGCTACAAGAGGAGGTCGGATGAGACGGAAGAGTAAGGAGAAAAGCAGCTATAGTTTGGACCTCTCCTGACGAGTCGGCATCGCGCGGCGTAAACCCTCGTGTTCTTCTCCTTCCCTTGTGGCTCCTCGATTGATCCTACGCAAGACAGTGACCGCGGTCACCTTCGGAAAAGGGGAAAAGTTTTAGGGAAAAAACAAGGCGACGACGCGACAGCTGGAATCACCGTGTCTTGTCGTCCCGTCATCATCAGCACAATTATTGTGGTGGTTGTCATCACCACTTGTGTGTGTGTGTGTGTGTCTGCTACGCTCTTCTTGCCTAAAACCACCCTTTTTCTCACGGTAAAAGAAAAACGTTGAGTGAGAGAGAGAGAGAGGAGAAGCAGACAGGTGAGTTGGAGTTTTCTTTTTATCTTCGGTGGTGTTGTTCCCGTTGGCCTCAGTCCATCTTACAAGAGGCGGCCACACACGCAACAACGAACGCCACGTCATGTCGTACAAGTACCAAGAAGAAGAGGAGCCGACCGACCCAGGCATTGTCGCACTGGCTGCAAATGTCCAGCAACTAACCGGCGACATCAGCGGGCCGTTCCGCAAGGGGGAGTTTACGATGGTGCTGCAGCAGTTCGATATGCTGATGGCCGCCTCAGCTGTCGAGGAGGTCGCCGCCCGCGCGCTTGACTTCCGTGACGAAATGCGGATCCTCGACGTCCTCGGCAGCTCGCTCAACGTGCTCGACGCAGACTTTTTGCACTGGCGGCTGACAACGCCGCAGGGACGCATGGTGGGCGTGGAGGGGAACTACGCTCTGCCGCGGCCGTCGAACGTGTCCGTCAACGCGTACCAGCTCTTCGAACTCGAGCACCGCATTGAGGAGTCGTGGGGACAGGCGCTGCTGGCGGCGATGCGGCTGATGCCCGACGAGCAGGAGCACCACGAGGAAATCGTGAACGACTTCGAGCGGCTGTTTGAGCGCTGCTCCGACTACCTGCGCTCCCTGCTGCAGGAGACCTCGGATGCGATTCATCTGCTGGACGTGACGGTGATGGACCCGACGGAGGTGTCCGCGCAGTACGTCGTGTGTGCCGCACTGCTCAAGCACCCGCCGCAGGAGGTGGAAACGCTGGTGACGCTGGTGTCGTACATGCGGCAGCGCTCCATCCCGCTGTCGATCGCCGCCGCGGAGTTGATGGAGCGCATTTACGTTCGCTTCATGAAGGGCCCGGCGGTGGCCGATGTCTTCAAGAAGGTGACGGCGGTCGGTATCATCCCGCTCTCCGCGCGGCCTTTCGCGATGCTCTTCAACAACTTAACGGACTCGAACGCGGTGCTGGACGCGTACGACGTCATGCTCGACTACGGCATTGCCCCCGAGGCGTCGACGCTGCGGATTCTGTGCAAGCAGTCGCGGATGGAATACGCAAAGCTGCACTTCACGACGGTGCTGAAGAACATGGCCACCTCGACGGATGGCGCCACCGCCGCCGCAGCAGCAGCGATGCCGGTGACGGCAACGAACAGCCAGTCGCAGACGCCCTCGCCTTCACCACCGCCGCGCTCGCCTGCTCCGACGTCGGCGGGACCCGCAGCCGCAGCGAACAGCAATTCCGCGAGCAGCAGCGCCGCAAACGTGGCCCCCGTCCCCGCTTCCGTTTCTGCCGCCGCCGCCGCACACGCGGCCTCGCGCCGTCGCGATGAGCGTTCCTACTTTGCGCAGCGCATTCAAGTCATGATCGAGAAGGACCCGAATGTGTCGCTGCTGGCTGCGCTGAAGGTGCTGCACCGGGCCGAGGTGGAGGGGACAACGCTGCAGGGCGACACCTACATTATGTCTGCGTTGCTGCGCCACTACTGCCGTGGCATCACGCCGCGCAAGTACTTGGTGTTGCCGTTTACGGAGTCGCTCGCGTACTGCCCGAAGCACGTGGCGGACGACGGAAGGAGGGCGGCTGCGGCTGAGGCGGGTGCGGAGGACGCGGTGGGCGGCGAAGAACGCGAGGGCGGGAGCTCGAAGAAGTTCGAGACGGTCAACGCCTTCGCTTTTGGTCTCGACGACACCGGAGATGAACTGCTGGAGGAGGAAGGGAAGAGCACGATCAACGACGAGTCCCTCCAGCCCCTTTCCGGTTCAGCGGGGCGCCGCGGGGGAGGCGGGGACCACGACGCGGGAAAAGGGCGCCGCGCTCAACGCGCCGCGCCGCGTGACCCGTACATCGCCGACAGCTCCGAGGAGGGCGACTACATCTTGGAGGTGCTCAAGTCGTACGGCTCCTACCCGGACAACAACGTTCTGCAGGCCATCTCCGCGCAGTACGAGGGTCGGGTGCCGGAGATGGAGATCGTGGCCAAGGCGGCGGACGCCTTCTTTGAAGGTTGCATGGCGTCTCAGGGCACGATGGAGCCAGTGAACTGCCGTGTGCTGCACGCGCTGGGCTACTACTTCATTGACAACCGTTGGCGAGATCGGGCGCATCAGCTGCTGTACAAGGTGCTGGAGATGTATCACGCCTATCAGGTGCAGTTCCACGCAGACCTTGGCGGCACGGAGAAGTGGTTCTGCTACTTCGCGGTGATCGTCGGCACTAAAACTGGTCCGCTGGACCTCGGGATCGGGCTGTTCACCGTGGCGCTGGCGCTGGGCGACAAACTGATCAACCCAAAGGTGCCGACGAAGCTGACGGTGAAGCGCGACTCATCTGAGAACGTGATTGAGGTGATTGAGGAACTGGAGCGGTGTGGTTGGGACCGCAACACAATTCTGTGCTGCGACGCGCTGATGCTGGAGCCGCAGGAACGTGCGCAGGCCGAGGGCGCGAGCGAGGGTGACAACAGCGGCGCCTCCGGTAGTGGTGGCGGTGGCGTGTACGGCCTGTCGGAGGATCTCGGCAAGGACAGCATATACACCAGCGCTGCTCAAGGGCCGAGCTCGTTTGCCAACGCCCATCTTCTTTCGGCGCGTCCGAGTCTCGCGACGTACATGTACGTGGCGCTGCGGGAGCTGGGCGTGGAGAAGGCGACGATGAACTGGTTGCGCGACAAACTGAAGGTGGCACGTGCGGAGGCGCTGGCGACGGCGGCGGCGGCCACCGGCTCTGCGGCGAACTAGACGCCTTCCCAAAAGAGGGAGAATGGATCGATGGAAAGAGCAAGGGAGAAGGGGCGCTTTGGCGAACTCCCGGTTTTGCGTGAGTGTGTGGCAGCGGGTGGTCTTTTCGCTTCCTTGTTCCGTACAGTGAGTAACAGTGGAGTTGTCGTTGTGGAGCCGAAGCAAAAGCAAAGTGGTGGAGAAGGGTTGTGTGTGTGTGTGTGTGTGTTTTGTCTCTTCGTCATCGTTGCGGGCATTACGGCTCTTTTGGTATCTCTTTCGTTTGTCTTTTGGCGGAGGGGGGGGGTTGTACAGTGCGTGTTGAGCGTTGTGTGTTAGCTAGGTTACCCCCCACCGCCGCCACCGCCGTTGCGGTTACCTGCGGTCTGTGATTGGTTCCTGGCGTAACGTGTTTGTGTCGGGATCGGGAGAGTGAGGCAGTCAACGCGCTTGTCTGTGTTGGATTTTTTTGGGGGGGACTCATGTCAGAGTAATTGACCTCGTCGCTCTTGTCGGTGTTTGTTTTCTTCACCGAGTCGGGATCGTCCTCCTCGGTGCTGCGGGTACATTCTCATTTTCAAGATGCGCCCGTCGTACCCCTCGATGACTTCTTCCTTCCTTCCTTCCTTCCTTCTTTGTTGTTTTCCCTCCTCGTGTGCAGGCTTTCGTCTTTCTTCCTTGTCTGCTCTTCAATTCATTTTTGGATGTATCTTTCTTTGTTTTTTGAAGGATTTGCTTCTTGTTTGCATTCGTGTATTTTATCTATTTATTTTTCACTGCCAGTATAAACATATACGCCTCGTTTTTGTCTCCCTCTCCCTCTCCCTACCTATCTCTAGCTCTCTGGCTCTCTCTCTCTCTCCCTGTGTGTGTGTGTGTGTGCGTGCGTGTGTGCGTGTGTGTCGCTGCGTGCGGGATGTGTGAGTGCCGGGTGAGGGAGCCAAACAAACAAACAAAAAAGAAGACTATTATTATGGTGATCATTCTTTCCGTCAACTTATTTTCTTTTCCTTCTTCTGCGCCGTTCCCGTCGTGCTTCCTCACTTCTCTTTGAAAAAAGAAAAAGGGGTGTCACCGCTCTCGCGCAACACGACGCGTTGATGGTCCACTCATCGCACAACGCGAGCAAAGAAGGAAGTAAGTGGTGAAACAGCGAAGGCCAGCAAACACCGAATCTGCCGAAGTATGATAGCAACATAACAATAATAAGGAATAGTTGGGGCTCGGCAGAGACGTTCCAGTGTGCACTGTGGCGCGGCCTCTTGCGGAGCGGGGAACAAAGGTCAAGAAGCTGCGATACGCTTCGTTCTGATTTAAAAAGGGTGAAAGAATCAAGGAAGATACTTATAAAAAGCTGGACCAACCGAAATGTAGATCAACTCGGTTCTTCTCTAACACGCGATGGTGAATGGAAGCCGCGACAAGTACCAGAAATGAATTGCATCATGTTTGTTTCTTTTTGTTTTTACAAAGGCATCGCAAAACAGGTAAAACCGGTGCTGTCCAGGGGAAGCCGACTGCCTCATCGCCCTTCCTCCGACGACGGAGCAGCGCACATCGTGAGCCGCACAGGATGACGATGAGAGGTGTGGCGTCGTGCCGTGTTTCATATATATATATGTACTTCTCTCCGTCCCTCCTGTTGTATTCTTTCGCCTCTTGCGCCAAACCTTTCGTGCGTGTCTTCTGTCAACGCACCAAACACAGAAGACCTTCACAGCAGAAGAGTTCTTCGAGACGCCTTCGTTTTCTTGCTTTGGTGCTGCTGCCCGGCGTGTTTTGCGTTGCAACTTCAATGACGTCTCTCCTGTCCGTCTATGAAGAGGGCTGTCGCACCTCGAGGGTCACACCAAACTCGGCCTTACATAGCTACTTCGCGACGAGGAGCTCTGACGAGCCGCTGCACATCTTCTCCCTCAGCTCCAACCAAGTAGGTCCGCGTGGCCTGCGGGCGCTGCTCCCCGTGTGGCTCCTGTGCCGCCACACGCTGCACACCCTCGACCTCAGTCGCAACAACCTGGGCAACGGAGCCATTTCTCAGCTGACGCGCTGGCTGGCAACCACAAGCGACGACGGCTTCCCTGCGCTGCGCCGCCTCGAGCTGTGCGGAAACCCCTTTACGTATCAGGCGGGCAAGTGCCTCGTGCACTGCTGTGAAGGTCTGCGACCTTCTACGGGCACCCTGTCGGCCAGGTCAGCGGCTCCACCGACGAGCGACGGCGCAACACCAGCAAGTACACTCGGCAACGAAGAATTTGCTGCTGCTGCTGCTGCTGGCGACTCCTCGTGCTATTGGGAAGAGGTCCCTGGCATGCAGATTGAGTACGTGGGTGTGGCGGACACGTCGATGCCGTCGGGGCTGCAGCGTGCGCTGCATACGCGAATTGCTGAAGCCATCGTCCGCCGTGAGCAGCGGCGACGACGGCATTGCGCTGCGCCGCACCGTCCTTCGCAGCGGCAGAGAAGTTTTGGCGCGCACCGCAGCCATCGTTCGAGTAAAGCAGCAGACGATGAGGCGCGCCCGAATGAGGAGTCTTCAGCAGCGGCACCGGTGGAGGCAGCTGTTGTGCGCATCCCGGCTGACCTGTTCGATGAACTCGCTGATGAACTGGCGGAAGTGGATGGAAGGGAAGAGGAGGCATTCGACGAAGGCGTCGCACCTACAAACGCGCCCGCCGCAGCAACCGCCGCTGAGGCGGATAACAAAATCCAAGACAACGAGCTCGACGCCGTTAATAACATCAACATCCGTGATGATGTCCGCAGGAGTCTTCCAAGAGACATCTCATCAGTCCGTGGACACGGCGCGACGCACCTTCCTGTCACGGAGGTGTTGGATGGGGAAAGAGAAGCTCCTACGCTCACCATCACGAGCAGCTCCCTCTCCCCCAGCTACGCGCGAGGGGATGCTGAGGCAGCGCTGAGGCACATCAGCGGCTCTGCCACCGTTCCCCCTGCCGACATGACCCACGTCGCGCTGCTGCCGCCTTCTGAGCTCTACAAGAGCGTTAACAGTGAATACGACGACGAACTGGACGGAGCAGACGCAGAAGTTCGCGACGGGGCTTCGTTTTCGTGTAGCCAACGTAATGCGGAAGACGCGTTCACGTGCGAATCGCACTCGCCGCCGTTTCTCCCGACTACGTCGCGGGTGCAGGTGGAGACGCCGACTCAGCCACAATCGGCGGCTGATGTGTTAGACGGGCTCGGCATGGAGGCGCGCGCAGGTTCGGCAAGTTATGATGCTGGCGCGTCCAACGCCGCTCCCTCCTGGCTGGACGACATGTAAAATACATCGGACGACTTCAGGTGCGGGCTGAAGCTCACACCTATTCGGTGTTTCCCACCCACCCACCCCTCCTCATTATTTTTATTGTTCCCCTCTCAATCGCCTATGCAGTAAAGTAGAGGGGGCAAAAAAGCCATTCTTTTGTTTTCTTTGTTCCTGGTGTTGTTCCTCGCGACACACGTTCTACCGGTGTCTAACAACGCACGAGTTTCAAAGCTGGTTCCGTACAATAGTTTAAACACAAGGAGAGGGGGAGGGGTTGTTGTTGTTTGCGTTACTTTCTCCTCCTCACTTTCTTTGGTTGCCGGCGTAATTTGTTTTCAATTCTGTGTGTTTCGTAGATCGAATACGGAAAAAAAAAGGTGAGAAGGAATCACCCGCATTCACCGGCTGCGACATTAAAGCCTGCTTTGTCGGACGCTTTTCGCTCTCTTTCTTTCTCGCTCTCTTTCCGTTTCGCATGTGTTCCACGGCGGCCAAGAAACAACAAGATGCTTGTCGTGCTCGATGCCGGCGTTCGCGCAGCCACGCACACCGTGAGGGTGCGCGTATGTATGAGAAAAAATCTGATCTCACCTGCAGAACAGCACCGCTGGCCTTTTTTTACATGATGCTCCGTTATTCGTTGTTTGTTTTTGCCAACGTGCTCTTTTCTACTTTCTCCGTTTCCCTCTCTCTCTCTCTTCACTCTTATTATTATTATTATTATTATTATTATTTACTCCCCGCTCTTTCCCTCTTTCACCGTCTTTCAGCGGTGGGACTTTCCTGCTTCCTCTTGCGCTTCCTACTCCCCTCACTTTACTCGCATTAACTCCAAATCAACTCCCCTTCGGGCTGACCGACAATTTTTCCCCCTCACATTTTCGTGTGTTTTTCTTCTGTTGTTGGTGCTCCCCACCCACCCCTCCCTCTTCCCTGCTATTTACACCTGCACTAACAACTTCAAAGGAAAGAAAAACTCCTTTTTTTGATTTTGTTTTAGCTTGTCTTTCAGCTGTGCATTCGAAAACTAAGAGAGAAAAAAATGTCCGCTGCGGTCGGCAACAAAGGCGAGCAGGCGAAGGCGCCCTTCATGACCTCCCACGAGGCTCTGTCGGAGGATTCGCTCAAGTACATCCGGGAGAACCACCTCGCGCAGCTGATGGAGATGTTGCTGCGCTCGATCCTCAAAGAGAAGCCGGAGAACCCCGTCCAGCACATTCATGAAATGACCGGGCAGCCCTTCCCGCCGCAGCTCGTCCTCGCGGGACCGCCGGCGAGCGGCAAGGGCACGCAGGCCCACCACATCTGCGCCTACTACAAGAAGAAGACAGGCAAGAAGCCGGTCCACGTCTCCTCGGGCGACCTTCTCCGGGAGGAGGTGGGCAAAGGCACGCACCTGGGCAAAATCGCTGGGGATTACATGGCGAAGGGCGACCTGGTGCCGGACAGCCTCATCATCGGCATGGTACGCAACCGCCTCTCGCAGGACGACGCCGTGCTGAATGGGTGGCTGCTGGACGGCTTCCCCCGCACCCGCGCACAGGCGGAGGAGCTCGATGCGGCCGGCTTCAGCCCCCGCCTCTTCATCGCGCTGGAGACACCAGAGGACATCTTGATTGAGCGCGTCGAGGGCCGCCGCACGGACCCGGCCACGGGGAACATCTACCACCTCAAGTACAACCCGCCGCCCGCGGATGACGCTGCGCTGATGGAGCGGTTGCAGCAGCGCGAGGACGACTCCCGCGAGGTGCTCGTCCCTCGCCTGAAGCGGTACCACGAGATGCTGGACGGGCTCGTGGACTTCTACGCACCGGTGATGGTCCGCATCAACGCCAACCGCACCGAGAGCGAGATCACGCACGACATCACCGACTACCTCAGCCAAAACGCAGTGGCCTAAAAAAAGAAAAAAGAAGAATTGGGCAACAACAACAAAAAAGTGGTGGAAACACAAAATGAAGGACGGTGATTCTTGTTTTGTTTCTCGTTTGCTCCGTTTTTTTTTTTTTAAGGGTCACGTGCCGGCTATGTATTTTTATTATGGTATTCTATTTGCGTGTGTGTGTGTATATATATATATGTACGTAGGAACAATGGGCTAACCAGCGTGGGATAAGAATGCCTCTGTGTGTGTGTGTGTGTCTGTGTTGCGCAGCGGGATCGCTTGCTGTGAGGCATGAACGCTTTTAATTGCATACGTGATATCTTTTGAAAACAATAAAAAGGAAACGCCGTGCAAGCCGACAGAAATACAATGAAGCCTCCGTGTACATGTATGTGCACATATACATGCATCCCCGTTATATCGAATGTCGTTCTGAGATTTGAAAAAGAATAGTAAATCGGAGCGAGAGAAGGAACGTGTGAGTTTCTATTTTTATTATTTCTGGCTTTTATCACGTTCCTTCTCTTTGTTTTTACATCTCTTTTGCTTCTTCTTTCGTCAGTGTTTCTCTCTCTCTCTCTCTCTCTCTCCTGCAAGCGTGACACAGAGAACGTGTAGCTTCGAGACGTGTTTTCAAAGCTTGTTCCTCTGTCGTCTTCTTTCTTCATCTCCTTTTTCGATCTGATAATTCGTTTTTTCATGGGATTGTTTGACTCCTCTGGCGGTGTTGTCTCTCCCGCTTCTTTCCTTCTTTCTTCTACTTTACTATTTTCCTCATGACTTATTGATTCTGTGAGGGCAGCCGCTTTTTTTTCAGGTCGTTGCTGATGCCGCTCCGTACAGGTTTGGAGTGGGGCCACTGGAGTCTCTCATCTGATCTACCGCGTTCGTTTTGTGGGTTGTTGTTGTTGTTTTGGATTGTCTGTTTTGTTCTTCTTCTTTCAGTTGTTGATGCTGCCCGTGTGTGTGTGTGTGGTGAAAACAAATAAGAGGGGCGTGGTGCAGCTTCTCTGTCGGACACATTTGGCGCTGCGGCGTTACGCACTCACATGTGCGGCTGACACACGTAACTGCTAAAACACGAAGAGAAAAGAAATGACAGGAGAGATGTTGACGGTCTCGTTGACAACGGAGAGAGGAAACGTGAAGGGAGGGAGGCCAACGAAAGAAGAAAAGAAACAGGAAAAGGAAAGGTGGTGTAAAGGGGAAGAGCTGCGGGCTTTTTTTTCTCCTTATTTTTTTATCTCGAAAAAAAAAAGGTGGAGAATGCATCTCGCACCTCACGCAGCCAGAGGTTTGGGAATCGGCCCGGACAGCTTCTTTTAATGGGGAAACGGAAGATAATTGCAGAGGTCGAACGTTTTTTTTTTCTTCTCTCTTGAACGCGTTGCTTTTGTCCTTTTACTGTTTTCGTTGGCCCCCCTTTTTATTTTCAACCTTTCCGGGTGCGGTGTTTCCATTTTCTTTATCTTTTTTCACTCTTCCCTTCTCGTCTTCCCGTCTCTTGTGCGTTGACGCGAGATCGTTTTACGGACCGCTGTCCATGAACCGGGTGTGCGTTCGCCGTCTCTCTTTCATTGCTTGTTTGTTTTTCTGATTTTCTGATTTCCCCCCCCCCCCTTCGCTTAGCCGCGTGCGTTCTCTGGCGGATACACCGGTGTGTGTGGGACGATGCTCCGCCGCTATAGCCAATCCTTTCCTTCTCTTCTCGCGATCTTATTTTTTTTTTGATCGTTTTTTTTTTATATGTTTTACGGCACTTCAACTCAAACTATGCTCTTTACTTTTCTTTCCCTTTCTCTGTTTACGATCCTCTTCCCTCGCCAAGGATGGAAAATGAGGGATAAACATCAGCGGCGAGGAAAAGGCGCACACATATGAGGCGGACGTGCGCGACCTCTTTTGTATGTTTGTTTTGGTCTTCCTTGACGGAGTCCCGCAGCAGATGCGGCTGTGCCGTACGCGCACACCAGCCTCTACATATGTGTGTGTGTGTGCTTGTGTGTTCATGTGTCTGTGTGTGAATTGATGTATGTACTGCAGCAGACGCCTCTGCAAACATTTTTTTTCTTCTTAGTTCATAGTACATGCACGTGAATGCACCTGTTCATTCGGATCCAGATAATACAGTGCAGGACAGAACAAAAGCAAAACTATATCAAAAAGGGAAAAGCACCACGGCTGTTGTTTCCTTCGGCCACTTCAGTACCACTGCGAGGCGAGCAAATTATATCTTTGTTGCTGACACGGCACAACGGTGACTCCCTTCATTACAATCTACCCTTATTATTTAAAAAGGGGGCTGTTGTTAGTTCTCGTTTGTCAAACGATCGGTTTGTGCACCGCTGCCCAGGACAACGCTTTCCCATTGTCGAAATTGAACCCTTCTCCTTTCTTTTCACTCTCTCTTTATTCTTATTTATTATTATTTACCCCTCCCAACCTCGTATTGTGTTTTTGGGTTTCTATTTTCTCCCGCTCTCTCTTCCACAGCATCACCGCGAAGTTGCCGACACGAAAGACCTCGTTGCAGCCCACCCTACCATACATATATATATTTACCTTATATATACCTTTGTTTTTCTGCTTTCATTGCTGCGGAGAAGGTGTGTGCGTGTTGGACCTGCGAAGACGCACCAGTAACCCCTGCTCTCTCTCTCTCTGTGTTTTCTACTGCCAACCACCTCCCCCTTCTTTCTTTTTTGCATATATTATATTCCTGTTTTCACTTGTTCGTCGCTTCTCGTGTGTTTATTTGCGATTCGCGACGGAGTGAAAGCGACGAATTATTCACCTGTAGATCCTTTCCCCCCCCCCCTCCTCCCTTTTCTTTGAAAGGAAGAAGCCACCCGTACATACAGTATAGATATTTTGAAGAGCGCGCGTGACGCACCGCGAGACGACATTTCCTTCCTTTCCCATTCCCTTTCTTTTTTCTTCCTTCTTCTTCTGCATCCGCGAATCTCTCGTGTTGAAGGAGTTTTCGTGTGCGTGTCTGTGCGTGTGTGGAAGCAATGCAGTTCCGCTCCACTCCCCGGGCCGAGTCGCCCACCCATCAGCAGCTCTACAAGCGAAACCCCTCCAACTCCGTCGCGCGCCGCCGCAACTCCATCACGCCCTCACGCAACAGCACCGGTCTCGCCCTTGCCGTCGTCCCCCCGGGCAACTCCCCGCGTCGCGGATCCACCTTCGGGGCCGCCGGTAGCGCAGGGGAGGAGATGGTGTACGTGGCGGACGTCAATCCCACCTACTCCGTCACCGCGACCGTCCGCTGCTTTGTCCCGGTGAATGAGCGTGTTATGTGGAGTGCGGAGTTCAACGGATGTTTGTGTGTGCGGGCGCTGCCGAAAGGGACCTCGTTGCGCACGTTACCCGGCCGCGAGGACACATGCTGCATTTCGCTGCTGCACGTGCCGAAGGTGGAGCAGGTCTGGGCTGGCTTTCAGGACGGCTACCTGCACGTGTACGACGCCCGCACCATGGAGCTGATGAAGGAGACGATGACGCACGGTGGCGGTCTGCACTGCATGACCCAAGTGGACGATACCGTTTTCACGGGTGGCGCGGATTGGAAGATCTGTCAGTGGGGCTTCGAGGGCGGCGCACCGCAGCTGCTGCGCACGCTGCACGGCCATCGCGGCGGCGTTCGCAGCTTCGGCGTCTACGACGGCCCAACCGGAGCCGTGTTGTTCTCCGGCAGCGACGACGGCACCATTCGTGCGTGGGACCCGTATGTGCCCGCGGCCGGCGCTGACGCCGACGCCGCCAACATCCACGTCTTCTCCGGCCACGACCGTGCCGTGCTGTCCTTAGCCGTGATCTCGCACATGAATCAGCTGTGGTCCGGCGGGGAGGACATGACGGTGCGGGTGTGGGACATGCAGACGCTGGAGTGCCTGGCGGTCCTGCGCAGCGGCCACACCGCACCCGTGGCGAACTTGATGGTGGTGGAGTCACGTGTGTGGTCCGCCGATAAGCACGGGCACATCTTGCTGTGGGACATCACGACTCGCTCGCTGCTGCAGGACCTCGCGGAGCGGGTGCCGTACTGGGGCATCGGTCAGGGCATGATTTTGGCCATGCAGAAGGTGCAGCCCACCACTGCCTACAAGGTGTGGACGGCGTCGTCGAACGGCGTCCTGCAGTGCTGGAATGCGGAGACAATCCCGATCGTCTTCAACGACGTCCCCATCGCGGCGGGTGTGCTTCGCCACGCGGGGTCGGCGTCGAAGGCCATTGCGGGGGCAGCGGGAGGCGCCCCGGAGAGCCCGCGGAAGCCGGGCGGCGGGAGAGGGGTGAGTCCGGCGAGCTCGCGCGGCGCAGACGCAGCAGACACCTCCGCGTTAACTGTCTCGACGAACAACAACAACAACGCGGTTGATGTGAGCAACAGCACGAACGGGCGCGGTGTGGCCTCGCCGGCACAGACGGCGGCTGCGGCGCGCATGCAGGGCTACGTGGAGAACCTTCAGCAGGAACTGCAGAACGCGCAGCGCGACGCGAAGTTGAACTACGAGAAGTACCGCGTGGAGGTGCAGCTGGAGATCGAAACACAGCAGCTGCTGGCACAGGAGAACGCGCAGCTGCGTGACCGCGTGAAGGAGTTGGAGGAGATGGCGGGTGTCCCACACGAGGAAATCCACGCTGCCCGCACATCGCCGCTGGCGGCCGGATCGGCGCCGGGCCACACCGCCCTGTCGATGAGCAGCTCTGCCGCGGATGCGGAGGCGCTGACGGCCGAGATCGACGACCTGCGCCAGCAGCTGGACGAAGCGCATCAGCAGCTGGACGAAGCGCATCAACGGCTCGACGAAGCCCTTCGCAACGCACCAGGGCAGCAATCGCCACCCGTGACGGACACGCCTCTCGGCGGCAACCTGCAGAAGAAGTCGTCGGGCGCCGGCGTCGACCTCGATGGCCCGCCGACCGACCCGGCACGTCAGTTTGTGCGGCAGGACGACCTCGCCCAGCTGCCAGCGACGTCGGAGGACGTGCTGAGTGACAGCACTGGGCTGGGCCGCCCCAGTGCCACCGGTGCCACCCGTCAGTTCTCCGCCATCCTCTCGACGCCGCTCGAGGCGCAGTGGAAGACAGGCACCATCACCCGCACCTCCCTCGTCCGCCACTTCGACGGTGACAACTGGGAGTACTTGATCAACGAGAAGCCCTACGAGCTGCACAGCACGCTGACCGCGGACCTGTGTGCCGGCCTGGGCGTCGCGCCGACGCAGCTGGAGCGGGTGGAGATGCACGATGACGGCTTAACCGTGGAAGCGGACGTTGTGCACCCCGTCACGGTGCCCGCCGCGGAGTTGGAGCGGCGCATGCGGGAGTACCGCTTCCCCGGTTTGATGAAGATGCACGCGGATGCCTTCACGACGACCAAGACGAGCCCGGACACCGCAGAGGCGACCATTATTGACTTGCAGGAGCAGCTGACGAGCATGGAGAAGGCGTTGGAAGAGGCGCAGGAGGAGCAGCGCGCGCAGCCACGCGTGGAGGAGCCGTCGCCGGAGCCGCAGCAGCCGTACAGTGCGCTACGTGCCGGCAACGACGGCGTGGGTGGCCAGGAGAACACGGCAGCCGAGCAGCAACGCCTGAGGGACGCTAACGCGAAGCTGCAGGACGAGCTGGAGGATCAGCTGCAGACGATTGAGCAGCTGCAGAGTGCGATGGAGGAGAAAGAAAACGAGCTCGCCTCGGCGCAGGTCGACCTGCGGAACAAGGAGAACGAGCTGAAGCACCTGACGAACGCGCAGGAGCAGCACACACCCAACACACGCCGTACGCGCGACAGCCCCGACTCCCAGGGGCTGCGGCTGTACGACAGTGCGGTCCCACCACCACCGCCAGCCCTGGACGGCACGGCGCGCAAGAAGCCAGAGTCGGAGTCGGGCCGCCCAACCGAGCTCCTCGCTGTTCCTCTCGCACAGGAGATGACAGCCGCTGCCGCCAGTGGTGGTGTTGGGGCGCAAGATGACGACGTCGACAGCAGCAGCAACAACGCACAGAGGAACGCTCCGCTGCTGCAGCAGGCGTTGAAGGAGGCGAATGACACGATAGCGGCGCTAGAGGCGCAGAAGAAGAAGGCAGACGCAGCCGCAGCCGGGCTCGCCGACCAGAACGCCCGCCTGACGCAACAGGCGGCACAGCTGCAGCAGGAGGTGAAGGCGCAGAAGCAGAGGCTGGCCGCGGCGGCAGCAGCGTCGCCGACTGCGCTCGCGAAGACGCCTTCGGCGACGGCGACGACGGACACGACAACACCCGCGTCCACCTCGCTAGAAAAGGACGAGGTGTCTAACAAGAAGCACGGTAAGGAGGAGGAGCTGCGGCAGCTGCGCGAGGATCACGACGCGCTGAACAGCTACCTGCACGACCAGCTGAAGCCGCTCATCTCACGTCTGAAGAGGGCGAGGGGAGAGCTGCAGCTGGACAAGGATCGCCTGCTGGAGCGCGTGGCAGCGATGGAGAAGGCCGCGTCAGACGCAACCGCTCAGAGTGAGAACGGAGACGGCGCAACGAAAGCGCGCGGCTCGGCAGGGAAGGGGAAGTCAGCGCAGGGGAGCTCCCGTGACGCCCCGGCGTCGTCCACGGACCCACAAGACGACGAGGCAAGCACGCAGCAGCTCCGCGAGGATCATGAGGCGCTGGACAACTACCTGCATGAGCAGGTGAAGCCGATGATCTCGGGTCTCAAGCGGGCGAAGGGGGAGCTGCAGCTGGACCTATCTCGTGCCCAGGAGAGCTTGAAGCACGCGTGTGACATGTACGATGAGGCCGCGGCCGCGCTGGAGGAGGCGCGGGTGCGGGAGGAAAAGATGGGGGAGGCGATGGAGACGCTGAAGAAGGCTCTAGAGGCGGAGCAGCAGAAGAACCAGGCCTTGACGAAGGCTCCTCCTGGTGCTGCTGCTGGGCCGGGTCAGCGTCCAGGAAGTGCGGAGAAGGCGGAGGCGGAGGCATCGAATCTGCGCGATACCGTCGATCGACTCACGGCGCAGAACGCAGACCTGTCCGCGCGGCTGGCGGAGGCGGAGATGGTCATGGCGCACCTCCAGGACTCGCTGGGGCAGTCGGCGCACCTGCTGAAGCAGTCGGTCGATCAGCTGGCGGAGCAGCGCAGCGAGACACAGCGGCTGCTGAACAAGATTGAGAAATTTCAGCAGAACTGCCGCAGCCACAGTGAGAACGTGCCGAGTGTGTCAACGTCTGATAGTCTTCCTTAGATGAATTCCATCGGTTGCCGTGTCTCTCATTCGTTTGTTCGAGTGCATGTACTTTTAGAAAAGGAAAAAAACCCTGCCCTCTCATTTTCTGTTTTCCGTTGCTTTATGTTGCTTCTCTGTTGTCGCATAAGCACTCTGTCCTTAACGTTATTATCCTGGGGTTTTTTTTTGATGTTGCTGACCCCTTTTGAAAACACTGCTGACGGACAGCGCAAAGTGTGTGTGTGTGTGTCTCCCTTTCTTTACTTTTCTCTTCATATTTTTCTCCGTATTTTGCAGAGTTGCGTTTGGCATGCTCTTCTCTTTTCGCGGGTGTGTGTTGTTGTCGTCTTCATCGTTCTTCTGTACCTCGTGTTTTTTTTTCTTGGATTTACGTATGCATATATATATGCGTGTGGCTGTCTGTGTGTGTGTGTGGCTGTGCTTTGTGTTGACGGAGTGTTTCCAGTCATGGTGATGAACCGCTACCTCGAGCATGCGTTAAACGCTTCCTGCTTCGTCGTGCAGCGGAGCGCCGATGACGCGCCCAAGTCCATGTGCGTTGTTCTTGCTATCGCTTCACTGCTCAACCGTGTATTGTAGCTATCACGTTTCCTGCTGCTGCTGCTGTTGCTGCTGAGTGGGATCGTGTTGTGCTAGTCAAGCGAGCAGCTGAATCGCCAACGGAACACGATGGCGTTACGCCCTCAAAACCCCAAAAGACAAAGCCTGCTCTTTGTTTTCTCCTTATTTTGTCCCTCTGCTTCGTCACATCGCGTGTCCGCCTCTCTTCCCCGCGCAGTTCTATCGCACCACAAACAGCGCCTTTCAACGTATTTACTAAAACTCTTTCTTTTCGTTGTACCCGCCTTCGTCGTGCTTAAAGAAACCGCAACAAGAGAGACCAAAAAATTACTTCGAACCTCTTTTTGTATTTCGTGTCTGTGTGTGTGCGTTGCGCTGTCTACACATACGTGTGTTCCGCTACACTTTGACCCATCACGACCGGCTTAGCCACCTCTGCTCCTTAACCCCTTCTTTCTTTTTGTTGATAAGGACGAAGAGGAGAGTACTTTCAGAGTGTAAGACCAGCGAGAAGACACGACTGTAGAGAGATAAATATAAATATATATATTCAGCAACAGCATGCCGCCAACGATAAACAGCGATCGCCCCGCAATGCGGTCATCCACGCGTGCCACGACGTCGCCTGGCGCGTCCGTCAGCCGCAAATCGCGCAAGTCCAAAACCCCTGCGGCCACCACCGCCATTCCCAACGCGAGCACCAAAACCCCGAAGAAGGGGCGGGTGCTGCGCCGGAGCGAGGGCGGCGCCCCGACAAGCATGCGCTCCTTATCGAAGCGCGACGTCACCGCCGTGTGCGACTCCGTCAGCGTCGCCGGTCGCTTTGACGGTCAGTCGCGCTGCTCGGCCATGTCGCCGGACGCGACGGTGTGGACGGGGGAAGCGGACGGCTCCATTGTGATCCGGCTCGCCCCGAGTGGGATGGTGGTCAGCCGCATCGAACCCATCGGCCGCGCCGCTGTACTGACGCTGACAAGCGTGAAGAGCAGGATGTGGGCAGGCTACTCGGACGGCACCCTTCGCGTGTTCGACCACGCGTCGCGCAAGATGCTGCGGGAATGCACGCAGCACACGGCGGCCGTGTATGCCATGTGCGCCGCGGACGGCTTCGTCTACGCGGCCGGCGCCGACTGGAAGGTGTACCAGTGGGAGGCGTACGACCTGCACTTTTGTCGCATGTACAGCGGGCACCGCAACACGGTGCGCTGCCTGGCGACCTACAAGGACCCCGAAAGCAGCCGCCGCTACGTCGTGTCGGGCAGCGACGACGGCACGGTGAAGGTGTGGGACGCCGCCGCGACGGTGACGTCTGTGAAGAAGACGGCCGCGAGCAGCGAGAAGGAGGCGGGCTGCATCGCTACCCTGGACGGGCAGGGCAGCGGCGTGCTCAGCATGCTGGTCCTGGAGGACACGGCGGAGCTCTGGGTGGGCAGCGAGGACACCGCCATTCGTGTGTGGGACCTCTTCTCGATGACCATCACCTCCGTCATCACGGCGCACCGCACACCGGTGGTGTCGCTGCAACGGGTGGAGGAGACGATCTGGTCCGGCAGCAAGGACAACGCGATTGTGATCACCAACCGCTTCTCGAAAGACGTCGTGCACCGATCGGCGCAGCCGCCCACGAGCAGCAGTAGTCCGCTGCAGCGCTTCGGCAACATGTCCATCCAGCCCGTCACCCGCACGGTGGTGTACAACGTGTGGGCGACGAGTGCGGACGGATCGTGGCAGTGCTGGAACTTCGCGGCACCGGAGGGCGGGGCGCCCTTCACCGCCGACGCCCCCGCCAAGTACCCCGAGGGCCACTACCTCTCCGAGAACCGCCACCGCGCCTCCGCGCCGACGAGTCAGCGCCGCGGCAACAGCGCGCGGGCCGGCACCGTTGCGGACGCGCCGGCCTCGAACAGCGCCAGCCGTTATCTCAACGGGTCGGTGAAGGAGGAGGAGGATGCGGAACTGCGCGAGAGCGTCGCCCGCACCCGCCGCTCCGTCGAGGAGTTGCTGACCGAGTCGGCGGAGGTGTCGCGGAGGAGCATGAGCGCCGTAGAGGATGAAAAGCAAGAGAAGGCAAAACCCGCGGGGGATGAGGGGGACGATGTCCCGATTGAGGTGGTGGCCGAGTCGATCCTGCACGATCGCGCGGAACAGACACAGAAGGAGGTGGAGCACCAGCAGGCGCAGCTGCAGAAGGCCACGAAACAAGCAGAGATGATGCGTGCCCAGCTGCGCGAGCTCGGTCAGGATCCCGCCGCGGTGGCGGCGGCGGCGGCCCCTCTGACAGCGCAGAAGAGCAGTGCGACGGACAGCCCGGGCACCGCAGCGCTGGATGGCGTCTCGGCGAAGCTGGCGGCGCAGAAGGCGGAGAACGCCGCGTTGGCTGCCGCGATCGGCGCCGCAAAGAAGTAGAGGTTACCTTTTCTTTCTTCGTGCTGTGATGGCAGTGGTGGTCGTTGACATTGGCATCTTGCTTTCGCTCTCCTCTCTTTAACTGTATTGTCTGTGTATGTGTGTGTGTGTGCTTTACTCCCTCAACATAGCTGATTGTCCGAGTACAGGATATATATATATATATTCTCCACTTTTTCTCTTTCCTTTTTTCTTCGGGTTTTACCATTGCTTCCCCCATTTGTGAGGGATCCTGTACGAACTATCTCTTCTGGTTTTATATATATATTAATTTTTTTATCCCCCTGTTCTATATCCTACCCTATTTGTGCTATGTAGATAGAGATTAATAGATCCCAGTATGTCGCAGCGGTCATGCAAAGGAAGGAGGGAGAGGGAGGGAAAGGGAGGGAGTATCGATGTCTGCTTCGACAGATCTATTCTATGCCAACTCGGCAAATGAATGGCCTTTTTTCTTCTTTTTTCTTCTTGGGGAGGAAGAGGGAGGAGGGAGGAGGGCTACTCTCTTGACGCTTGCATTTATAACCCTTGCAGTTTGTATGCGTGCTGAGACCTTCCTCACCCCCTCTCCCCTCTCCCCTCCTTTTCTATCTTCTGCCTTTTTCATTGTCACAGTTGTGTCGCACGCCGTTCGCTGCACGTGGGCTTTTTCGTTCTTGTGTTGTTGTTGTTTTTCCGGTTGTTGTAGCTCGCAGCCGAATCCTCTCTTTTCTCTTCTCTTTTATTGGGTACTTCGCATTTGTGCGTTGCAGCTTTACTGGTTTTGCTGCTTTCTCTCACCCAGACGCCGGCTGCGTTGCGTACGCCGAAGTGCGGCCCGCCACTCCGCTCTTTTTGGGGGTGTTCTCTTTCGGTCTAGAGGATCCTGCGTTGACCCGCTGTGGTTGCAGCAGATGAGGGAGGGGAGGAAGGGGAGAACGGCGTCACACGATTTGCAACTCGCATTTTCTTGCGTCCCCGCTATTGCGGAACACACCGAACAGCGATATTTTTTTTTCCTTTTCTTCTTACTTTTGTTTTCTGTTGATTTGTTAGAGGTCTCGTTTTTGCTGTCGGCGTCGTTGTGATGTTGGGTGGAATAATTGTAACTTTAAAAGTACCCCGCTATAGTTCACTTTCTTTGTTAGCTGTGTGTGTGTGTGTGTGTTTGTTTGGTTGGTTGCTGTCATTGACTCGTTGACGAAACTCGTGACATCGTTCACGCCTCACGTTCCAGAGATCCGGAGAACAGTATTTAAAATAGAAGAAAAAAGGCTGTAGAGGAAACTTATGTGTGGGGTTTTTCATCGTCTTGTATTTGTCTATGTGTATGTGTGTTTTTGCTGTTAGATTCAAATCCTACTCTTCAGCGTTGGCCCTTTTTTGTTTCTGTCTCGTGGGTCTTCTCTTCGGTACGGTGGTGGTGAAGTGTTCGTCTGCATTTTTTTTTTTGTTTGTTGTTGTTCCTCCCGTCTGTGCATCATCAATTTCAATAGTTGACGTCGCCGAAGAAGCACAAGACAAATACATATATATATCCGAAGACGGACTTCCAACTGCACTTTTCTTTTCGCTCTTCCACCGGCTCACTGCTGGGCACAGCCGATGTTGGGCCTCGTCGTCTTCTGAGACACCTCGGCAGGATGAAGCGGCTGCTTCGAGAGTCCTGGAAATGCAAGGGGAAAGAGGGGAGTGGTTGTGGAAGACTTCAGCACCCGTAGGTGTCTTTTGAGGTTTTGGGTGTGGGGGACGGTCCTTTTCAGCTGCTGGGTAGCGGTGCTACGCATCACAAGCGCGCGAAGAGGGCCGTGCCGACGTTTGAAAAGAAAACTAATGTAAAACGTTACTCCATTTCAAAGCCTCTACCGTATCTGCCGCTGATCTCGCTCACCCTCTCCAATCCTTACTCTTTTCTTCTTCTTGTTGTTGTTGTTTTGTTGTTTGCCACATAACGACGTCTCTCGTAAGGCCTGTTGGGACGTATACGCACAAAGGCTCTTCCTTCTCCTTCGGAGGAGCTCTTTCTCCCTTTATATATATTTGATGCCACGCGTAACGAGAAGACACATTTAGTTTTGTATGCATCAGCAAATTTGACGCGTTTGTGGTTTTTCTTAGATCTTCTTTTACTGCTCTTATCTACTCTTTTTTTTTTACTTTTCCTTTTGGACCTCACGATGGAGAATCGAAAGCTGAAGCGCTACGACTCAGCGCCGATCTCCTCCGGCACGTCATCGTCGTCGGCCGCCGCTGCCCGCGCCGCAGCGCATATCTCACACGTACCACGTCCGCAGGCCTCCCCCTCCGCCAAGCCCATGATTAACGCGTCGGCCTCATCGTCGGCCTCCGCCGCTGCTGCTGCTGCTACTCCTCCCACAGCCGACCGCTCCGCCGAGCCCTTCGCGAAGCAGCTCGAAGCGTACTACCGCTGCATGGAAGAGGACAATCAGGCGCTGATGAAGCACTACGAGACTCACGTCGCGGACATCGCCTCCCTTAAGGCCCTCGCGCAGGAGCGCAAGTACAAGGAGGCGGTCTTCAAAACAATGGAAGCCAAGACAGCCGCGATGGACGCCTTTCTGCAGGAGTTGGCGGACCTGACGGCGCCGAGTCGCGGACTGCGCGCGAGGGGGGACGCAAACCTGCGAAGCCCCGCAGGCAGCACTCCTGTGAAGACCGCCGGCAGTACTCAGAAGGCCTCGCCCACCGTCGCGGCACCGGCCGCCTCGATGGACAGCGTACGCGAGGCGGTACAGCAGCTGCAGGCCTCTCTACAGGCGGCATGCACCAACGAGGCGAGGCACCAGCTGACCATTCAAGCACTCGAGAAGGAGCTGGCAGAGTGGAAGGAAAAGGCGCGGGCACGCCACGTCCGGACGAAGTCGGGTGCGACGGACGGCGGTGTCACGACCGAGGAGGACAGCTGCTTCCTGCCCGGCACCGCGAAGGAACTGCGCGAGGCGCAACGACGAATGCGGGACTTGGAGCGTCAACTGATGAAGGCAACAACGGAGGCGAAGGACGCGGCGGCCGCCCTCGCACTGTTGGAGCAGCAGCACCTCGTGTCGACGCTAACGTTGCAGCGCCGCGACGATGAGCTGCTGGCGATGCGTGGGCTGCTGAACTCAAAGGAACAGCTGCTGGCGGCGCTGGAAGAGGAGACGAAGACGGCACGAGCGTCCACCACCGCGGGTACGACGACGGCGGCGGCGGCAGTGACCCCTGCTACCCGGGCTCGCGGCAGCGCCCGCTTCGTTCGCATGAACTCCGCCCCTGCGGCGGCGGGGTCGGCGGGACACCGCTGCGGCGGTGAGACGAGCAGCGACCGCCTCGTCGTCACCCACCACTACCGCCTCCTCGGTGGTCAGCGCTTCGTCGACGGGCAGGTCTTCTCGGCCGAGTCCTTCAAGGACGCCTTTCTGCGCTCCGTCTCGACGATGCTGCACGTCCCGTACGGGTACCTGACCAGCGTCGAGGTGCGCACCCACGCCGAGGCGGTCAGCGTGGAGCTGGACATCCGCCACTCCTCGCGCGTAAAGGAGGACGAGATCGACTTCCTTTTGCTCAGCCACGACTACCCAGAGGTGATGACGTTTCTGGAGAAGGTGAAGGCAGAGCTGGCCGCGACGACGCCGCCGGACCGCAACGCTGTCCGTGTGCGGGAGCTGCAAGCAACGCTGGCGGAAAAGGAGGAGGAAGTCGGCGACCTGCGCCGGAAGCTGCGCGCCGTGGAGGAGTCCGTCGAGCGCCGCGACCGCGAACGCGAGGTTCTCGATAAGGACGTCGACGTCACGTTGCACGAGACGGAGCGCACCGTGACGGAGCTTTATGAAGCCCTGCAAGCGGCCCAGCAGGAGACGCAAGCCGCGCAGAAGGCGCTGAGTTTGAAGTCGTCGCAGGCACGCGTCCTGGAGCACGCGAAGAGCGCCGTGGTCGACGCCGCTGCCGCAGCGGAGCGAAACCTCAAGCAGGAAATAGAAGCACTGAAAGATCGGCTCGCGCAATCACTGGACGACCTCAACAAAGCAAAGGATAGCGTCACCGAGGCCGTGCTACGCGCACAGGCCGATGAGAAGATGGATGTGCACCTCGCCGTGTGCTCGTTTGATATTCCCCTGTCTTACTCTTCCTGTGCATCTGCGCCTCGCATCGCGTCGACACTCCTGCAGAACGCGCAGGAGAGGCGCGTGTTGCACGCCCTGGTGCTCGCCTACGCCGGCTGCACCGGCGGTGCGATTCCCGTCCAGGTAAAGAGCTGTGTGTTCTCCGAGGGCAGCAACAGCGGCTCGTCCTCCGCCCTGCACGTGGACGTGGAGCTAGCCTACTACGCCAACGCGCGCACTGGCGACGCCGTGACGGCGGAGATCAACAGGAAGCTCAGCGAGGGCGGCAGCTGCACCTTTGTCCAGGAGTACCTGCGCATGCGTGGCGAGTCGGCCAGGAAGGACGCGACGGCCGCTGCGGATGCGCAGCGAGCGATCAGCGAGGCGGAGCAACGTGCCACCGCCGCACTGGCCGCGATGCGTGCCGAGACGCAGCACGCACACGCGACAAAGCTGGAGGCGGCGGTGAGCCAACTTCAGCAGATCTCGGCACGCCTGACGACCGTGTTTCCTGACTCTTCCCCGGCAGGCACCGGCTCGCCGAGTAAGGCCAACTCCGTCGTCGGCCGCGTCGAACAGCTTATTATGCGCGTCACGACCGCCGAGGCCGCCGCACACCGGCACGCAGAGGAGTGTCAGCGCGCGACGCGGCGCCTGACCGAAGCGCAGCAGGAGCGGGAGCAGCTGCAGCAGACGCTGAGCGAGCTGACGGCGCGCTGCGCGGAGGTGCGCCTGGCGAAGGAGCAGCTGGCCGCACGCCTCGCCACGGCGGAGGATCAGCGGACGGCGGCGCAGACCGCCGCGGCCACGTCGGAGGGCGCGCTGGCGGAGAAGGTGCGACGGCTGGAGGCCACGCTGCGTGCCACGACAGCGGCTGCCGAGGCGGAGAAGGCGAAGTCAGCCGAGGAGGTGCAGGCGGCGTTGGCGGCGTTGGCCGCTCGCGTGGTGGAGGCGGAAGCGGAGTCGAAGCGGCTGCGGGCACAGCTCACCGCTGCGACGGCGGTGGCTGGGGGGGACTCCAGGAAGGAGGAATCCGCGCTGCGTGAGGCGCTGCGACTGGCGAAAGAAGACCGCACCGCACTGGCGCGACAAGTGAAGGAGATGGAGACGGACATGAATGACTTGTCCAACATCCAGGCCGCCATGCAGCGCGAACTAGAGTCCGCCCAGCAGGAGCTGCGCGCCAAGAAGCACGACTTCGACCTCCTCGTGAAGCAGCTCATCCGTATGGAGGAGAAGGAGAAGAAGTGGCAGTCGGACCCGCACCCACCCGTTGCGTCGCCCGACTCGCCCTCTCGCCTGCAGAACGAAGAGGCGGAGAAGGATGACGTGGCGCGGGAGTCGCTCGTTGTGCTGACGAACAGCAACACAAACCTCCAGCAGTGTCTGCGCAAGTTGCAGCGCACCATGAATACGATGGGCATGGAGATGAACGCGGCAGCGAGGGGCAGCAGCAGCATCAACAACAGCGGCAGTGGAATCTACAACGGTTCTGCCAGCTCGACCGCGCCGGCGGTGGAGGACAACGGTAGCAACGGCAGCGGACGCGGGTCGCGGCGCAGTGGACACCGCAAAGGCGCGCTATCCGCCACGGTGTCGCGCGCCGCGATGGACCACCAGCAGCTCTCCGCCCACCTCTCCAGCCTGCTCTTACTGATGCTAGAGACGCTGGAAAACGGCCTCAATGGTAGTAACAGCGATGCGGGTGCCGGCGAGGGTGGTCGCACAGCAGACAGTGCGGCGGCATGTACGCGCACCGCCAGCTGCCACAGCAACTCCCACCACACGAGCAGCCACCATACCAATCCCAGCACGCACGCACCGACGCGTATTGTGAGACAGCAGCAGCAGCAGCTCAGCGATTCGCCCTTCGCGCGCACGCGGTCTACGCCGGTGCTGGGGGAACGGGGAAGCCCAGGTGCTGGCTGCAGTGACGACGACGCGGCCGCCGCCACCGCCACCGCCACAGCGCAGCGCGACACGCCGAAGTGGGAAAGCCCCTCATCGGACAAGTGCAGCAGTAACAGTACCGCCACGGCGGCTGCGGCGGCCCTCCACGCCAGCCCGACGGTGATCGGCTCCGGCGGGAAAGCTAAAGTGGACGCGGCGCCGCGGCTGGACTTTCATCGCCAGGCAAGCGCCACCGCGTACATGCGCAGCAACACAGCAGCGGCAGCGGCAACGACGGCGCAGAGCAGCGGAGGCGGCGGCGGCCTCCCACCGACGTCTTGCGGGGCCGCCAACGCGAGCCAGACGGAGGCAAAAAAAGAACGGCGGAATCGTGAGTTGCCGCAGCGACGCACAGGGGGCGGGGCGGCCGCCACAGGAGCTGCAGCGACGGCGCCCAACAGCCGCAGCAACATCAACGCGAATTCTTCGTCTGTGGGCTCGAATGCAAACGCCCCACGCCGCTCTAATCTGTCCACGACAACGGCAGCTACAACGACGGCAGCAGCAGCAGCGTCCACGGCGAAGTCGAACCCATTTCTTCGGAGCAGCACAGCAAGTGGGAGTGCAACTTTGTCGGCTCCTGCCGCGGCGGGCGCCACCAGTGTGGCGCGGGTGACCAGCGGCCACCCTCGCGTGGCGACGAGCACGGCAGACGCGGGCGGCCCGACGTCTCTGTCCACCTCGCAGACGCACAAGCAGTATCGCAGGCGGCTTTAAAACGGCACAACAACAAAAAAGCGTTGAAGCGCGTTTTCGTGTTCCCTCTGGCGCTTTTTTGCGGAGGTACGAATTTGCCGTGGCGCGGCAAAACCACGGCATTATATTATATACACTCTCTGTATCCTTGTTTTTCATTTGTTGCTATTCCTTACTGCGTCTCTTGTTGAGCATCCACACGATGTTGCGCGTCGCGCTCTTCGTTGCCTTCTCTAAGTTGGTGTTTTGTTTTCTTTTGGCTTTCTTTTTCTTTTCTTCTTTTCTTTTCTCACAATTAGATCGCTGTATGATTGATTTCCTACCCTTGTGTAGTCTCTGTTTCTAGATCCACTGTTCTGTTTGCCCTCTCCCTCTCTTATGCATCGTGTTATTCTCCTCCTCTCCTTTTGTACATCTGTGCGTGGATGGCACGCCTTGTCGCGTATATCGTGGGCCGCAGCAGAAGAAGAAAAGAAAAGAGAAGAATGAACGGTGCTCGGTCGCTGTTGTCTGCGAGGTAGAGGCGACCCATTATCTGGTGGCAGCTCTCTTGCCGCCCTCCCCGGAGGAGGGGGGAGGGGGGGGGAAGATAAAACCTCTGCACTGACAGAGGCACCGTGCCCGCCACCACATCGCATCCGCTCTCGTACGCGTTCACGCCCGTGGCGTAGCGTTCCGGAGACGGGTTTCAGCTGGTGTCGTGTTTGTTCCTGGATGCAAGAGAAGTGAAGTGAAAAGAAAAAAGCCGCGATGCGTACCCTCCAACCGTTTCTCACCCGCCGTCGCTCCTCTTCTTTTTTTTTTTTCACGCAACGTCCGACTTCACCATCGCAGAGGCTACACTCCTCATCACCGTCGCACCGCGCACCTCGCCGTCGAGTTCGGATTTCCACTCGTCTCTTCTCTCCCTCTCGAGCTCCCTCGTACATTTCCTTTTTCTTTTCCTCCCAAACTTTTCTTACCAAGAGTCATGTTCCGTGGACGTATTGAACTGGTGATCGGCCCGATGTTCGCCGGCAAGACGACGGAGCTGATGCGCCGGGTTAAGCGCGAGATCCACGCTCATCACAGCTGCTTCGTCATCAAGTACTCCAAGGACACCCGCTACGACGTGCGCAACATCGCCTCGCACGATCAGGTGACCTTGCGCGCGCAGGCAGCCGTGACGAAGCTGTTGGAGGTGCAGGAGAAGTGGAGAAAGTTCGACGTGCTCGCGATTGATGAGGGGCAGTTCTTCTGCGACCTGGTGGACTTCTGCAACACGGCCGCGGATGCCGGCAAGATCGTCATGGTCTCTGCGCTGGATGGCGATTACCGTCGCAGGCCGTTCGGACAGATCTGTGAGCTGATTCCGTACTGCGAATCGGTGGACAAGCTGTCGGCGGTGTGCATGATATGCCACGAGCGCCCGGCCAGCTTCACGCGCCGCACGGTGCACGCGGAGCAGCTGGAACTGATTGGCGGTGCGGACATGTACATCGCCACCTGCCGGGAGTGCTACATGCAGCCGCACACGCCCTCGCTGGAGGTGATGCGGAGTCAGCGGCAGACAATCAGGGAGGTCGAGAAGAGCTACCTCGGGGTGGCGTGCAAGAAGCCGGTGGTGACGACGCCGGAGAAGGCAGCGGAGGGTCGCAGAAGTGAGGAAGGCGCGACCTCGTCGGTGTCTGCCGGGTCTGTGGGTACGGTCGACTTCAAAGCACCGCGTGTGGGGGATGGGAACGGCTTCCCGCTGGCGCCGCCGCCCAAATTGGCGAAGACGGAGAAGGCTCGGCTCGACGCCATTTCGTGATCAAATACCGGCGTTGGCGGTTCGAGGACACGTTCGCCCATATAGAGGCACCAACAGGACGTTTCCGTGCACCTCCTCGCCACATCCTTTTCTGATGATGTCAGCGCTGAGAGACACAAAGCAAGGGAGGGAGCCGTCCTACCCCTTCTTGCTTCATTTTCATTTTGCGTGTTGTGATACACAGCGCCTTGAGGTCAGAGCCTGTGTGTGTGCGTGTGCGTGTGCGTGTGGTTTCTTTTTTTCTTCTTCAAAGTGCCCCCACACGACAACACTTACAAAACAAAGAGGTTGAGCATGTACGCACACCATCGTAAATTCACGCACTCATAGAAAGAGACAGGGGGAGGAGGAGAGTCGACGTCGGTGTGTGTGTGTGTGTGCGTGCACACACACGTGTCTTTCTTCCCCTTGTCCATAGAAGACTCTTCCCCCCCCCCCCTCTATTTTCTACTGTTACTTTAGTGTGCTTCCACATTTATTACTTCCGATTTGGGAGGGTTCTTCTTTGTATTTTTCCTTTTCCCCATCGTGCTGACCCATACCCCCCCCCCCCCTCGCCCGTTGTGTTCGCAGCTGCGTACATTAGCGCCAACACGGAAACAATTGAAACGGGGATGGCGGCCAGAAAGCCCAGCAGGTTGGCGGCGTGAAGGGTCGGCGCAGGCTACCACCGATGCATGCTCTTGTGAAGACGAAAGACGAGCTGCATAGAGAGAGGAGGGGGAGCGATATCAAACGAAGTGCGACGAGTCGGGCGCGGGTGAGTCTTCGACGTGTGTCACCGTATTTTTGTTTTACTTTATGCTCGCCTCTGAATACCGTACGAAAGCTCGTTCCAGCTTTGACAGCGTACGTTAGTCATTGCCTTTCTCGTTTTCTCTCGCTGAGGTAGGAGAGGTTCCTTTTCTTGCTCGCTCAAGTGTGTGTGTCGTCACACCGTTTATTTTCTCCAGACGTATTGATGCTACTATCGCTGTGCAGGCTGTCTTTGTATTATTATTATTTTCGTGCTTCATTATCTTCGGCTTTCTTCTACCCGCTCAGTAGTCGGCCAGGAGGGAGAAAGGGACAACAACCCGCTCGCCATCGAGTACAAAGACGGCGGGGTGAAGCTTGTATAGCCTGCTGAAGCGGTCAGACGCCGTATCGCACACGCTCATCAATGCGGTGCACTCTGCAACTGGGCAATCAAAACCGAAGGAAATATCTTTTAAAAAAAAACACGACAAAAGGGGGGCTTGAAACGAGAGTGAGGCACCGCAGTCCGCGAAAGCGAAGGTTACGCCTCTGTGGAGGGAAAGGGAGAAGCGGAAGGGGAGATTTTTGGTCCTGCCGCCGCGTTTCATCGCCTACAACTTCAAGGCCAGCGTCATGCTGGAATCGACGCAGAAGAATCGAAGCGACGCCGCGACGGTGATATTTTGTGTGTGTATGTGTGTGGGCAACGTTTGGGCTCGGACTTCTTTTCTGATTGTGTACGGCTCGCAAAAGCGAAACACCGAGCTGAACGTGGCCGATACGCGCCGCCTCAGTATTCCGCTTCCTTCAATGGTGCTCTTTCATACTTCTATAGTGACAGCTCTTTCCTCTCGCTCCTCCTCTTCTTCTTACATACGCTGAAAAACAAAGGAAGCAGGAGTACCGTGAGCGCGCTAGAAGTCTGCGATCAGACTCAAAAGCTAACGCTTCACCATTCGTGGCATCCATTTTTTGTTTTTTCTCTTTCCGTGCTCACACCAGCGTCACTCCACAGCATGTCGTCGCTCAGCTCCGTCGGTACGATGACGCTCCGCAGCGCACTCGCCTGCTCGATGCTGTGTCGCTGCCTCACCACCTCCGCCACGGCAGGCACAGCCGGCACGCGCACCTCCACACACCGCACTGCGCTGGCAACGCTGACCGGCGTTCGCCTGACGAGCACGCTCGGTGCACCGACACGGGCCCTCTTCGTCGCAAAGCGGCGCCGCACCGGGAAACGGGTCCCTGTCGCGCCGACCGCGAGCGCTCACTTCCCATCGCAGCGGAGTAGCGGCGCTGCCCCAGTTGCCCCAGTGGAGGCGAAGCCCAACACACCTGCGTCGTCATCCGTTGGCGAAGACAACGGGGCAGACGCGACGTCAGCGCACGATGTACCGCAGCCGCAGCAGCAGGCGGACTCCTCATCCGTACCGCCGACAGAGCGGCCACGTCGGCGTTACTCCGTCTCGTCAGCGGCCGCCGATCAGCAAGTCCAACGCCTAAAGCAGGAGCTGCTGCACGCACGGCTTCGACTTGCCAAGGCAGAGCAGACGAAACTCGCGCTCTACGAAAGCGTGCTGGGGAAGCTGGATGAGACCGACCGCGCCGCCCAGAAAGCCGCGGCCAGTCTGCGCTACACCGGCATGGCGCTGCGCTGTGCGCATGACAACTTGGAGGTAGAGCTGCGTCGACTCATGACGATCGGCCTCACGGCTGGCGAGGTCGACGCGGCGGCAGTGGAGGCGGGGGCACGGCAGTACATTCGGCAGAACATTGGATTTCACGCCGAGCACGTGGCACGTGAGCCGTCGTCCGTGACGGACGTTGTGCGGGAGTCGCGAACACGCTCGAGGTCTGACACACCTTAACTCTGTTGTTCTCTTTTGCCGAGCCAAAACGTTTGAGTTCAACCGCACCTCTCCATCGCCGTATAAGACGAAAGAAAGGAACGTCCCCTTTTTGAAGGAGATTCGGTGTGCTGCCACGTTACTGTCCTACGCACGTCTTCTCTCTTCCTCTCCCCCTCAACCTGTTGTTGCTATTTCGGCACATGGAACGACGACGATCTGCACCCTGCGGAGGGGACCCTTGAAATGCGGTGATGCTTCTCACCTCATCATTAAGCAGAACAGAAAATATTTCTTCTTTTTTTTTCATCAACTGTTTGCGATTCAACTGCCACTTCCACTTCTGGGATCAAGAGGGTGCGTACGTGCGACAAGGTTCCGTGCTGATGTATTACTACTATTGTTTCCCCGCCCCCGCCCCCACCCATGTACCGCCTCCCGATGACGCACCGCGATCCATCGCACGCCACCGTCCATCCTCCGCTCCTCCTGGTCCCTTCCTCTGCCATTCATTCCGTCCTCGCAACAACCGGCAAAAACGGAAGATTTTAACTGCCTGATCGTTTACCTACCATCTCTCCTTCATAGCGATAACATCTCTCTTCAAAAAAAAAAATCCTCTCTTTTTCATACGCCACATTCATTTTTCATTTCTTTGCTTTTAACACCACATCCACCGTCGTTGTCATGCCGCTCGCGGAGAAGACGATTCAGGTCGTGGAGGCCACGGCGCCTGCTGTGGCAGCCGTGGGTCCGCAGCTGGCTGCATCCTTCTACAAGCGCATGTTCACCAACAACCCCGAGTTGAAAGATGTCTTCATCATGGCGCACCAGCGTAACCTCGCGCAGCCGACGGCGCTCTTCAACTCCGTTGTGGCGTACGCGACGCACCTGCGCGACCTCGGAGCGCTCGGACCCGCCGTGGAGAAGATCGCGCACAAGCACGCAGCCTTCAACATCAAGCCAGCCCAGTACCAGATCGTCGGCTACAACCTGCTGAAGACGATCGAGGCGGAGCTGAACCCCGGCCAGGACGTGCTGGACGAGTGGGGCAAGGCGTACGAGCAGCTGGCGCAGATCTTCATCACACGCGAGGAGCAGATCTACGCGGAGGTGGAGTCCAGCCCGGGTGGCTGGCGGCCGACGCGCGCGTTCCGCGTGGCGGACAAGCATAGAGAGAGCGACGCAATCACGCGCTTCAAGTTGGTGCCGGCCGACGGCAAGCCCATCGCTGCGCATGAGCCTGGCCGCTACCTCTCCATCTTCGTGCGCCACCCGTCCATGCCTTACCAGGAGATCCGTCAGTACTCCATCGTGTCGCCGCCCAGCCACGAGTACTACGAGGTCGCGATCAAGCGCCACGACCAGGGCCAGGTCTCGCGCTACATGACCGACATTGTGAACGTCGGGGACGAGTTGCAGCTCGCACCGCCCTACGGCGACTTCTTCCTGGACCTCCCCAAGGACACCACCACCCCGATCGCTCTCATCTCCGGCGGCGTTGGTCTCACGCCCATGCTGAGCATGCTGCGCAGCCTCGCCGTGACGAAGGCCACCAACCCCCTCTACTGGGTCCACGCCGCGCACAGCAAGCGTGTGCGTGCCTTCGCGGACGAGGTGAAGGAGACGAAGGCCGCCACGCTGCCACAGCTCAAGATCTACAACTGGCTGTCCGAGGTCACGCCGGCGGACAAGCAGGGCGTCGACTACGACTTCCAGGGCCACATCGACATCAGCAAGATCCCCGACTTCTGTGCCAACCCCGCCACGCAGTACTACTTCGTCGGCCCCGACGGCTTCATGAAGAACGTCGAGAAGCAGCTGCAGAGCCAGAACGTCGGCGACGACCGCATTCACTACGAGTGCTTTGGCCCCTTCAACCCTATCAAGTAAGGTGCCGGTGGTGTTCTCTGACCGCCGTTGCCGCTGCTGTCGCGGGTGTGTGTGTGTGTGCGTGTTGTTTTCAACGCTGGTCGGCCGTTCGTTTTGGCTTTTCTCTAGAAATATCCTCTTAGAGTCGCTTGATCACGTTGGGTGAAAAGGGGAGGAGGACAAGCGAAAGGTTTCCGGGCGCCTACCTGTAACGGATCTCCGTCGTGGTTCGAGACCTATTTGAAAGAAAGGAACAAAGATGCACATACGCTCTCACTTTTATTCCTTTTTTTTTTGCAGCATTTGGCAAGTAGCAGAAACGGATTTTGAAGAGGCGACTCGATGTCGGCAATGATGCCGCGAAGTGAAACTTATTTTCTTTTTCTTGTAGATAATGCACTTCGTGGCTCGCTGTTTAATCAAGAAACACTCTCGTTGCCGCACCAAGCCGCCAACTCGCCTTCGTTTCCTTTTTTCGATCTTTTTATTATTATTATTATTATGTGGTCTCCCTCCTCTTAACTATTTATGATTTCCTCCTTGCCTTTCGTCGCCGCTAGCGCAAACGCACTCCTTACAAACTTAGCATATTCGAAAAAACCTCCCCTCCCTCCTCTTTTTTCCGTTCGCTCACATATATATATGTATGTTTTCTATTTTAATGGGAGGTTGTGGTGGGTCTTTCCAGTTCGCATCCCCCACTGAAAGACGGTGAACTGATCAATCATTTCCTCAATGCCTTTTTTTTTAAGTCTCTGATTTTTTTTTTGTTTTACATGCTCTTCCTCACATGCGCCCGTTGTTTGCTGGTACTCAGGTACCTGTCACCGTTCGTGTATTCTTGCTGGTTTGTTTTGAATCTCCGTCCATGATTGATCGCCGGTTTTTCGTTCGTGGTTCTCTTGACCAACGCCATAGGAAGAAGAAGAGGTGGCGCAGCCGCTGCCCGCCGGCGATCACGGCCACGTTCTACAAACGAAGTACCGAGGAGAAGAGAAAGAAGAGAAAGAAGAGGAAAGAGGGCACGCCATTTCTCGTGGAAAGAGAAGACGTGCACGGAGTCCGCGTAACCGCTTGGCCTTCCCTCCACGTCTTTCTTTCTCTCTTCCCTTCTTTTAATAAGAAAAGAGCGAAACACTTACGGACAATGACAAGACCAGAAAGGCTGTTTTCCTATGAGACGCACAGCGCTTTTTTTTTTTTGTTTGATTGAGCTTTTCGTCGGATTTAACGGCCTACGTCCTTCTCGCGAGAGTAAAGTCCCTCTCGTCATCGCCGTCTTTGTTTTTCTCTCAATAGAAAAGGTGATAATTTGTCATCATCATCACACGCGCGAAGATGAAATGAACAGGGTGGTATTTTCTTTCTTTCTTTCTCTTTTTCCTTCTCGTGATTTCACGCTTTTCTTTCTCCCATTTTTCACTTCTTGAATTCCTCTCACCCTACTGCACGTCGTGGTGGGCAAAGCTGGTGAAGAAGGGAGAGATATATGAAAAACGCCGCCCTCTTTTTTTTTTTCAGAGGGCAGAGGAGGAAAAAGCAGAAGTGTATTGAAGAAGTGCAGGATTTGTTTTTTTTTTTCTGGATGGTATCCGCGCCGGTGTAGCAAGCAGCAGCGGAGGAGTGAGCAGGTGAATGTGTGTCTCCGCTACCGTGGACATACTTCATCCTGCCGTATGTTGTGCTCCTCGCTGTGTGAGAAACACCTCACAGTTTTGCTTTTGTTTTTCTGAAACTCGCGCCTACCGTTTCCTGTGCAAATACTTTTTTTGTCTCAGCGCCATATTGCTCAAAAAAGGAATAAGAGTATCTTTAATACATCAAAATCGAAAATGGATATATAATGATAAATAAAGGAAAAGGTAAATGAAGTCGAAATGCTCTTATTTTTATTTTCTCCTTCTCTTCAACTTTCAATCATTTGGCATACTCTTCTCCCGCACACGATACTTCGAGGAAAAAGGGTAGGTATTTTATTTGGCAGATGCAGAGTTGTCGTTGACCTCGGCGTTACTTCTCTCTCTCTCTTCTGTTCGAATTCCCCCTTTCCTTTCCTGTTTTTTCTTTAACGCCTGGGTTAAGGAATTTCGCCCTTTTCAGTGAACAGTGTTCTTTGTGCTGCCGACGGTCAAGAGTCACGTATGCAGGTCTCCACTTCTCGTGGAAGCGCTACTTCGATGCTGAGACGACGTGTTACATGGCAATATGCTTGTTGTTGTTGTTGATACGTGTTTTTTTTTTTACTAGGATGGAGGGTCACACCCTTTCTTTCTTCTTCGGAGTCTCTCTCCCTCTCTCAGGCCGGGGCGGGGGAGGGGACATCCCCTAAAACGAATTTTTTTGTTTCTCTTCTCTCGATCTTTCTCTTGCTTTCCTCTAGTAATTTCTCTTGTTTTATTATTATTATTTTATCAGTATTATTTATTTTTGTAGTGAAGGAAGTTTCCGACGAAACAAACGAAAAGAAAGCAAAGAAGACCGTCGACTGCTTCGGGAAAAGGGCGAAGTTTTTCCTGATCTTTTTCTTCTGTTTGTTTCCTCTCGTTTTCTTTCTCCCCTTTATTATGATTTCTTTTTCGGGTATTAAGTCGTTGGTGCTTCTTGGACGCCAAACAGGGCGAAACAGACCCCCTCTTTTATTATAGTTTCCCACCATTATTACTCTTCGCTGTCTTGCTTCCCTTCTGATCTGTTTCGTGCGCATCGTTCCTATGGGGACGCGAAAGAGAAACTGACGGTAGGAGGAGCACCGACCATGCAAGCCAGAACCCTTCAATTATGATTTTTCCCTTACGTTGCCGGCTACGTCCGGCGGAGCGTTCCTGAGAGCACAAACGCGGCGAAGAGCGCTACAGCAGGAGAGACCTGTTTGTGTGTGTGTGTGTAACGGAAAACCGTCTTAGCTGCCTGCGCAGAACAATGCCTCTCGTGACATCTTCCCCTGTCGCCTCTTCTTTCCATCGCCGCTATTCCTCTCTCTCT